AAGCACTACTTACTGACCGATCGAGGATTTTTCCTAACTGCTGATAGCGCTGTCTTTCTAATTTTTAACGTTCTCGGATCTCAGTAACAAAAACTGGACGTTTAGTGAGCAGTTCCCGAGATCAATTAAGAGCGCTGACGGTACTAAAGTGGTCACTAAAAATGCCCCAACACGTCCGATTCGCGTTTACCATTGCCCGAGTAAGTTGAGAGCTTCATTGGTTCAGCTAAAAGCGCTGCTTGACGGAATAGAAGAAAATGTCAAAGGAGCCAGTCAGGCTCCGAAAGGAAGAAGCTGGCGGCTGGGATGGTAACTCAATACGTTCTCACCAACCCGTGTTTAGTCAATTTGTCCAGGTCATGTGAGACGTTGAATGAGAGTATCAGATTGATCTTCTTATTCAAAATTTCATAAGCATGACTAGTAAGAATACATTCAAACTAAAACATAAGCTTCAAATGGAAAATACTCCAAAAAAATAAATAAAAAAAGAAAAATTTTGAATTAAAATATCCCGAAGAAGTTGTAAAAAAACTCAGGCCTCAGTTAGAAACAAAAATCTACAATCTCAGTCAGTCGCATGAAAACAAAGACCTATCAACTAGCAAGAGCGAAAAACAAAAACAAGGGCCAAGATAGCGAGCTCAAAGGACTGTTGGAACTAGGAAAACTTTTAGTGGCCCCTATAAAGGCTTCCCAAGGACCACTTGAAGAGGACACTCAAGTGGCCACTAAAATCACCTCTATAGAGGCTATTAATTTGTTCATTAGTGGCAACTGTAGTAGTTTCAGTCATCTAGTCGTACTACTTAGAGCTCTATAGTGTCCACTAAAACGCCAAAACCCTATCGAGGCCACTAAAATTTTTCCCAGGATATTCAAAAATATATTTGTTATGTCCTTTTTTTGATTCTCCAAGATCTCATGAGAAAATATAATGAAAATTGATGACCTTTCCGGTCAGCCAGCTAGCCTAGAACAACTACAGCCAAATAAGTCACTTCTAAACACATTTTCTCGTTGAAAAAAAGACCAATAACCGTGAAAACACGAGTCAAAACAGAAACATTGTAAGTACGCCCATTTCGGGAAGACCTGGGCGTCGGTTTCATGCATGAGCAATCGACCAACAGTGCCCCGTGAGTGTCCGTTCAAACAGCCGAGACGCACCTTTTGGCGTCGCCGGCGGAGGCCTCCACACCTCGTCTCTCATAACAAACAAACAACAAACACTTCCTCTTTAAGGCTTAAGCTTAAAGTCCTGGAGACGTATGCATGAACGTTTACGGAGCGTAAATGTAAGGCGTGAAGAAAAGTTATTAACAGGTACCGGGCCGAGTTTGAAACCCTATTTAAAATCGTTATTCATTTCTTTTTGATAGCGTGTTCAATTTGATTCCGCGATATTCAAAATACCCGTTAGAGAAAGTAAAATATCAATAAGTTTTGGAGAGTCAGAGATCATTTTGCATTTCGCAGAATCAAATTGAACACGGCATGAGCTTTCAAAATGGTAAAAAGAATTCTCGAAGAAATCGTCTTTTTTTCAAATCAAAAATAAAAGATGAGTGACGTAATAAAAATACGTAGACAAGAAAAAAATCTAACGTGACTCATCGCTTCTCAAGAAGTTCTGAAAAAAAGGACTTTAAAAAGAATAAATTCTCAGAAAACGTTCACATTTTCCTATCAAAACAATAAAACCCTCAGGAAAAATCGATAAAAACTCATCCCAAAAAGCGCTACGCAGGTTCAAAAAAACGTGTGAGTCTGTGGGTGACCTTGGCGTAGCCCAGATTATATGCAGACTCCGTGGGTCAAATCGCCACCCAATAGGTTAGTGTCTATGAAAACTTTGTGAAAATCAACATCAATATCAACTTTTAGAAGTCAAAAACTTGAAAAAAGTGGTTTTCGAGCTGACTTTTATGAAAAATAAATTAAGGATCTTGTTCACTAGACAGCAACTTCAGTTTCGGATACTGTTTCAGAAAATCAGTTCTCTGTCCGAAATTAATTCTAATAATTCATACTATAATTTCGAAAAAGTGGCCTCATGAAATTGGAAAGTCCACCTGGAAATTCAGGATTTTCTAAGAATTTGTCGAAAAAATCTTCAATCTACCAGGTGGAGAAATTATAAGTCTGGAACTGCAAAACTTCCCAAAAATCAGAAGAGAACCGTCAAGAACAATTGAATTTTTAAATTTCAGTCTACTTAACTTTCAAATAATTACATTTGCTTTTTTTCATCTGAGTTTTGGTCGTCTTAACTTTCAAACTCCTAGCTTCCAAAACTCATAAGAGACCAAGAAAACCCTTCATTTAAACTTTCAAGGACAAATCCCACGCTAGAGAACCTATTGAAGCTCAATAAAGTAGGTCATTTACTTTGCAGTTGGGAATTCTCCGAAAACTTGTCAGAACATCCCCTGAAGTACCTAACTGAGGTTCTGAAATTCTCTTGAGCTCAAACCCCCAAAAATGGCCTTTTTGACGGATTTTGAAGGGTTTCTTCGAATTTGAAAATTCCTCTCTCAAAAACTAGGAAGTTCACTTTCAGAATCCTTTCTTGGTACTTCAAGGGAAGTTTTACGAACTTTCAGGAAATTTCCAACCACAAAGTGAAATGACCTTCCTTGTCAGAAACCAGCAAAACTCAATAAAGAAGCCAAGACGCAGAACAAGGCGCCAGGTAAGTCTAGAAGGTAAGGAAAAGCCCAAAAGAAACATGACCCGCGAGCCGAAAGGCAGAAGCGCAAATAACAAGGTAGACCACCTAGCGAAAAAGGTCGTCGTCGGATGAACGACCTGCAGAAAAAAAAAGACATCGCAAATCCGCCGTCCATTCGACCTCATCCAAGGCTACTCATCTAGGTAGAGGAGACCAAAAAAGGCCTGTCTCTGTGCACTCTTCAATCTCGATGCTCTCTCATCTTTTGCCCTCGTCTGGCAGCAGTTTTTCCCCGTTTTTGGTGTGGAGACTAGTTGGGGGACGACGGTTTTCGACCAGTTTCAAGTGGTTTCACCGTAATTAGAGGATTGGAGTGGGGAATTTCACTTTAGCTTATTTTCGAGATCAGAGGGTTGAAAAAAAAACTTTAACCTTGAAGAATTTTTTTCAATCTTTCTTTCTAATTCTTAAAGCTTTAATGCCTTTTTTCATAATCCTAAACCTACAAAGAATTTTAAGTTTTAAAAAATCAGAGAAATTGCTATAAACTGTCAAGGAAAATTAAGAAATTCAATATACAAGAAGTTACAGTACCGCTCAAAAGTCTATTAAGTTTTGGTTTTTTGGGGATATCTCAGCGAGTACTTATCCGATTTATATATAACTTTCAGGGATAATGTAAAATATACTTTGAAACATATACGGTATACAAAGACATGTCCGCAATGACTGTGACGCGTTTTAGGCATTTTTTATTGAATTCCATTTTTTTTTTTTTTTATGCTTTTATTTTTTTATTTATTTTTTTATTAAATTTTTTTAAAAATTAATAATGTTGCCATATGATTTTTTTTCATGTTTTCAGACATGGGAAGAACCTTTGGAAAAAAAGAATTTGACTGATAACAGCAAAAGAGCCATCGTTGTGGGTCGTCAAAATGGACTGACCATGATGACGTTGGCAGGAATGTTCGGCGTGACAGAGACGGGCATTTCTCAGTTCCTAAAGCTAGGGTCCGCAAGCCATTTCTTCAGAACGATTCAAAAAATATGTTTTTCACATTGTTCGATAGAGGAGACTGTCCATTTTCATAATCCGTTTAGTTTTTGAAAAAAGGTAAACTAAGAAAAAAGTTATGGCCAAAAAACTAGCGCGCTCGGCGATCAACTGGAGGCGAAATCTCACGGTTTACCCGCTGCCGCACGCTTTCTTTTTAAATGTTTTTGCGCATTTCTGAACCGTTTTCGAATCGGTTTTCTGTTCTGAGAGGTTGTCCGAACTGAGCTCAATGTTTTGGTATAATTCTTTTTGTATAACTCTCATAAGAATTTTTTTGATAAAATATCAAAAAAACTACTTAGAAAAAAAGGTCAGAAGGAATTTTTCAGCTTATTTTTTTCTTTTTTTCTAATCATAAAAAAATTATTATCATTCGATTTGAAAGAAAGAAAAAAATGAAAAAAATATTTTTTTATTTCGAAATAAAAACAGGAAAAAAGTGCAATTTGACGCCGAAAAAAACGGCTCCTGCAACATTTAAAATGGCGTATCGGTGTGTTTGACGCAAACACAGCTACGAATGCTTGCACGAATTCTTCCAAAAATTTCAAAAAAATTGCCATTTTTTTCGAGGTTTTTCAAAGCCGTTATTTTTTTCGCGTCGTTAGATTTTTTTCATAATTTTTTTTCAATGATAGAGTTTTTGAACGCTTAATCACATAATCAAAATTATAGACGCGATCCTATTCTCTCATGCGTCAACGAGGCAGGCGAAAAAAGGAGGTTTTGGTAAAATCCAAATATAATTTGATTCGCTGTCCCAATAATTATTTTCATTCTGAATTTTTATTTTTGAACACATTGTGAGTTTTAAAATCAAATAAAAAGTATACCTTGTCGCTGAAACTTTTTCGCAATTCAGCTTCAAAGTTTGGTGTCACTTTACAAGCTTCGATTTTTTTTTCGCGTCGTTAGATTTTTTTAAATTTCCACTCAAAAAATAAAGAAAGTGTTAATAAGTAACATACTCAAAATTTGGAAGCGATCCTCACTTGGTTTTCTGAAACGCGACGATTTTGTGAAACTTGTCAGTTTTTTTCGTGTTAAATCTTACTTTTTCGCTTATTTTTGAAAAAAACATAGTTTTTAAAATATTCAGTCTTGTAGAGCGTTGTCGATTACATAGATTAACAGAAACAGTTCATTTTTAAAGTGGGACTTTAGCTAGTATAAACGCCTCAAAACCGTTTTTGCAACAAAAAAATCGTCATTTTGGTGGCGGGAAGGGGCGGGGCTTTGCGCCCCCTACCTAAAGCGTCAGAAAGCTCAAGATGGCTCTACTAACAGCCAACGCACTGGAAGACCACGTGTCACTGATCGTAATGACGATAGGAACATTTTGAAGACGTCTAGAACCAATCCATGACTCCTCGCCCCTGCGATCAGACGGGAAGTTTTCTTGAATTCGCCATCTCCGCCATCCGTCTCGACCGTGAAACGACGTCTGAATGCTGCTGGAATCATGGGAAGACGTCCAGTGAAGAAACCGCTGATTTCTGAAAAGAATCGAGCCGCCAGGGTGAAGTGGGCGAAGGAGCATCTCAACTGGACCCGTCAAGACTGGAACAAGATTCTGTGGTCCGACGAAAGCAAGTTCCTCCTCTTCGGGAGTGACGGAATTCAGTGGGTTCGTAGACCAATTGGGTCCAGATATCATCCGAAATACCAATTACTTACTATAAAAACATGGTGGAAGACCGTTTCGTCGGACCACAGAATCTTGTTCCAGTCTTGACGGGTCCAGTTGAGATGCTCTTTCGCCCACGTCACCCTGCCGGCTCGATTCTTTTCAGAAATCAGCGGTTTTTTCACTGGACGTCTTCCCATGACTCCAGCAACATTCAGACGTCGTTTCACGGACCAGACGGATGGCGGAGATGGCGAATTCAAGAAAACTTCCCGTCTGATCGCAGGGGCGGTGAGTCTTGGATTGGTTCTAGACGTCTTCAAAATGTTTCTATCGTCATTACGACCAGTGACACGTAGTCTTCCAGTGCTTTGGCTCTTAGTAGAGCCATCTAGAGCTTTCCAACGCTTTAGGAACGGAGAAATGCCCGCCTCTGTCACGCCGAACATTCCTGCCAACGTCATCATGGTCAGTCCATTTTGACGACCCACAACGATGGCTCTTTTGCTGTTATCAGTCAAATCCTTTTTTCCAGAGGTTCTTCCCATGTCTGAAAACATGAAAAAAAACATATGGCAACATTATTACTTTTAAAAAAATTTAATAAAAAAATAAATAAAAAAATAAAAAGCATAAAAAAACAAAAAAATTGAATTCAAAAAAATTCCTAAAACGCGTCACAGTGATTGCGGACATGTATCTGTATACCGTATATGTTTCAAAGTATATTTTACATTATTCCTGAAAGTTATATATAAATCGGATAAGTACTCGCTGAGATATCCTCAAAAAACCAAAACTTAATAGACTTTTGAGCGGTACTGTATGGTCCTAAAACTAATGGCTCACCCTGTTGCCAATACTGTCAAGCTGCACCCGACCAAAAACGGTTTGCGCGCTTCTCCTCTTTTTTTTGAACCTTTTTCACACTATGTCCGCAATGCTAGTTGCTGAACGAAAAAAAATCACGAGAAATGAAAAAAACAAATTAAAATGAAAAAAACAAACTTTTCTTCTGTTCTATTGAAATATATGGAAAAAAGAGAAAAATGGTTGCAATTAAAATTTTTCAACAAAATCAATCAAAAGACCTCGACGCAAATTGAAAAAATGTAGGGAAAAACCAGCTTTGACCCAATTAAAATCTTCCCTCCGCCTACATTAAGATATTCATCTTTTTGGATCACAAGGTCACCTATTTTTTCAACAAAGCAGTCTGTTGGACATCAGAAAAGCCAAAAATAAGATCCAAGAATTAAAAAAAAACGCTTTTTACTGTATATCGGAGACATTACGTAAAGTGAAAGTTGGATGTCAAAAAACGGGGAAAACTCTCATTCTCGACGCGGTTCTCAAGGAATTTTCACGACACTTTACGAGTAAGAACGTCCATTTTATTACCCATCATAAAAACTGACCGCGTGAAAACAAACAATGGCCGTTTTCACCGGTATTCCATGAGAAAAAATAGGATTTTTGTTGAATTTTGGTTTACTTTACGAGAAAGGATCCTTCAAAATCTTGAGAAGGAACTGAGGAATTTTGCAGTTCAAGACTTTTAGTATTTTTATCTGGAGAGCCTAACACGTAAGCTGATTTCAAAAAGATTCTTGTCGGACAGAAAAGATCCTCGGGTTGAATTTGAGAAAATTGGAACAAATCCAAGCTTTTTTCCGAAAAGTTGGCTCCTTGAAGTTTCCTTGACCTCATTTGTGTTCAGAAAATAGTTCGACCGATTTATTTCAGTTTATAAAAAAGGTACAAGCTTTTCCATGAATCGAATTAATGAGCTCAAAAATGAAGATAGCTTGTAATGAAGTTCTCCAAGCTTTTAAAGCTCATAACTACGGTCATTGAATTTTGATTAATTCATAATTGGTTTAAGTCTTTAGTTGACAGCATATTTTTTCAAAATACATCCAAATTCTAAATCTTTGAACTACCTAAAAATTGATAGAAAATGCCAAGATGTCAACTAGAAGAACTACCACCATATTGGACTGATCCTTCCCCTCCAAATCCAATCAAAAAAAGTACCTTCAAAAAAAGGCCGCCGGTTCTCGGTACTACCAACCCAAAAAAGAGCAGCAAAAAAAAGAGGTTTGCATCTGCGCCAGCTGCAGTTTTGTACATACAGGATGACTCACGGAGGTGGATGAGAAATAAAAAAAGAAAGAAAGGAAAGAGGGCGGCTCTAAAAGTTATGAGAAAGTGGCAGCGTCACTTTGTGACTTTGGGATTCGATAGTTCTATCCAGTCAAAACAGGCGCTGCTTACTGATTGATCAATAATCCTTCAAAATAATTACCTTAAAAAACACTGAATGAGAATTTTATATTTAGCTAGATAACGTAGTTGTTGAACTAAAATGAGTTTTTTTTTTTTTGAATTTAACATTTTCTTTAAAGGGAGTCATATAATTAATCATAAAATCTAAAGTGATCCCATACAAATACTGCAAAATATAAACAAAAAAATGTTTTTTTCAGCGCAAATGAAAAAAACTTTTTCGTTTTTTTTTCTTTTCCAAAATTTCAATTTTTTACTTACCCGCCTTTCATCACCACCAGGAACCACTGCTTCGAAAAATTTGAAAAAAAAAATCTATCAAAAACTCACCATTCAGCAATACCATCATGATACATCTTATCAAAAAAAAAAAACCAGAAACAAAAAAAAAATGAAAAAATACAAAAAATGAAACCAACTCTGCCAACCGCCTTTTTTTGTATCGAATCAAAGATGCTTCGGCCAAATCGCCAACCGTTTGGATCTAAAAAAATTCTCAAGTATTTTTTTCAAAAATTTCTTACAAGTAGATATACGTTACAAGTAGCATTTTTTTATCTTGTGAAGAGAAAAAAATAAAATTGCTTGCGATGAAAAAAAGGTAAGTAAGCTCAAAATGTTCAAATTATATTTTTTTAACCCAAAAAAATATAATAAACAAATCACTTCATCCCGACAAGGAACCACGATTTTCATGGCTCCCAAACTGAACGGTGACCCTGTCTGGAAAGCGTCGACGTCGCATAGGATTCTGATGACATCGGACTCCAACGTCTTCTGAGAAATAACCGTGTTTTCGAAGCGTCTGAAAATAAAAAATGAATAAAATCTCGCATATTTGGAAAATGTAACGTTCCCACAGAATGATAACGATGTGAGTATCGGAAATTGACAAATAAAAGTAAAAAAATTGGTTTTTGATGGGAAAAAGAAGGCATGAAATGGAAAATTTCATATTTTATGAAATTTACGGTGCGTAGGTGTTTGCTCTGGGAAATAAAAATCATATTTGGGTCAAAATGACGATATTATTATCAAAGATATAAGAAGAAATAGGATCTAGCAACCAATAAGACATTAAAAATTTTTTTAATAGAAATAATTAAAATGCACTCCGTGATCAGTATAAACCATCGAACATGTGAATCTCGTTCAGAAACGTGAATTTATCGTTTCAAAATCAATTATTTACAGAAATACTGTGAAAACTTCGAGAAATAACGTTTCAAAAAGCAATTATGGAGAATTATCAATAGATTTGAAGGTCTTTACCGAATAAAACTCAATATTATTCCGGAATCAGACAAAACTGTCCCAACTAGATTTCTTCTGAACGGAATAGCCCACAAAACACTTATCAAGTCGAGAAGAACAATAGAAAACGGTTTTGAAACTCAAAAAATACACGAATTTCACAAAAACGGCCAGAAAAAGCCTAGTATTTCAAAATACCCAACAATTTCTAACAATGAAGCGTTCGGCTAGCAATCGGGTAGTGGGTAGAAGACTAATCGGCTCAAATTTAGGGAGAGCTCTTCCCAATTAACTCCGTTCCGTTTCAAGTCAATTAATTGGGCAGTTAAATTCGAGAGGGCCAGGGTTGTGTGAAAGATGGACGTTTCATCGAATAAAAATAGATAATTGTGAAGCTCTTACTATTTTAGACCTTAAATTTTGAAAAATAAGGCTCATAAGACTTTATAGTGGAAGGCTGAACCTAAAAACGCCTTTTTTGAAAGAAGATCTTTCCAATCAATAAAATTAGACAGTTTTGAAGCAAAAAATTGGCGTTCAAAAACTTTCAAAGCTCAAAATCAGTAGTAAAACTATCCTAGCTTGAATTTAAAACCCAAAAATCAAATTTTTATGTTTATGCCTTTGTGATTCAGAATATTAGAAGCCAAATATGCATACGTTCCCGAATTTTGACTCAAAAAAAGTCATTTTCTCCGAAAAGAAAGGAATTCTCTTCTAAAAACTCTCATTTTTTCGGAGAAGCCTTTTTTAATCAGCACTAATGACCCACTAGTTGAGGGGAAAAAGCGAAAAAAGCCGAAAAGTAAGGAAATTTGTTATAGAGATCAACATCAGAGTGAATAGATACTTTCCACTCATCCTCTTTTCTATCTTTATCGATTTTTCAACTCCTACAGTCGGTTAAAAATTAGTAGCAAGGCAATTTTAAAGGAAAACTTTTGAAGGTATTGAGAAGAAAAGCCTTTTTGGACCTTTATGCGCCTTTAAACACTCCAGTGGAGCCTTGTAACAGGCTCAAGCCCTTATCCAAGCCTGGAAACCTTCAAAAGAAAGGACAAAACGATAAAAGGTGCACTGAAGACGGAAAAATAAGGAAGATGACCACTCGAAACCGGTGAAGGGCCGTCCGTCTCCACAAATATCCGCACCCATTTTTTGAGGAAAACGGAGAAGATGCAAAAAATTGCGAACAAATATAGGTGTTGTTCTGGGAAACGACTTGGCAATAACACAGATAAAAACGAGAGCGATCTTGAGGAAATGAAGGGAATAATTATGTAGAACTGAAAGAAGAAAAAAAAAAGCTAATAAAGCAAAGCAACTAATGGAAATCGCAACGTTTTTAAAACTGAAAAAAGGTCAAAAAGTTAAACTGGAATGAAAAAAATCGAAATATTGTCTCAAGCCTACTTTAGAGGTTCACGCTTGAGATGTCAGAAAGGCCAAAAATAGGAAAAATCAAAATTTCATAGTTTCCTTTTTTTTCAAAAATATTTCTGTTACAAAAAACTGTACTATTCCAAAAAAAAAGATTCATTAAAACCTGAATTTTAACAACAACAAAAACTGGCGTGAGAAAATGTTCTTGTGCACATACACGTGTATACACTAGCAGCTCTTACAGTATGAGAATTATCAAAAATTGACATTTTCTTTTGATTTCCCTTTGAAAAAACAGAATAGTGCAGAACAAAGAGCACAAAACTCTTGAATATCCATTCAAGCATGAAACCGCGGCCCAATTGACCTGTACCCATTGGTCATCTCACTCTCGCACACGCAAAAAAGTGGGTTTGAACGTCTATTCGGCACCATTCTCAACTAGTAAAAAACCTATTAAATTCTAATAATGAAGACGTGGGTTCGAATGAAACGGATAAGTTATAAAAAATGGAAAGGATGGCGAGCCTCAAAAAGATCCTATAAAATTTAAAAAGATCCTATAAAAATGTAAAATTTTAAATTTCCTACTTATCGGACTGAGTTAGAAGGTAAAGCTCCGAAAATTTGGAAAAAAGTCAAATTTTTTTTTTTGCATCCGACCGAGCAGGACTTACGCTAGCCGGCGTTAAACTGTTTTGAAATTTCAGGCCGCAGCGCGACCGCTACGCGTACAGCCATTCAAAATGCGACCATAAATGGAGCCTAGAGGTGTAAAAATAGCTTTTAAAATGATAAAGAGAGTTCGTGTTAGAAGGTATTTAAAAAAAAGGCTCCAACAATTCGAAAAAAAAAGCCCTTTGTTAAGTCCTTCACCGAAAATTCCTTATTCCAAGGTTTTTTTTTTTCTGAAAGTCTTTATCAGACTTTTGAGATTATCCAAGTTTTTATACAGGGAACGGTTCACAGCGCTTAGTGCATCCGACCGAACATGACTTACGCTCGCGGGCATGAAATTGTTTTTAAGTTTCAGGCCGCAGCGCGACCGCTACGCATACAGCCATTCAAAATGCGACCAGAAATTCGCGTAAATTCATTCAAAGAAATTCTCAGATGAGATTTTTCGAGAACTTATAAAGACAGCTAACTAATAAGATTAGTAAATTCTCCATTTGGCACACTCTAAGATATCCTACAATTCTATTATTTTTTTCTAATAAATTTGGACGGATCGAAAAAAATATAAAAAAACAAGCTGAATCTCAAAAATAGGGGTCAAGGAAAAGAGAACACCATGTATTCCATGTTTGGCGATCGGCCAACTTGTCGTAAATCAACACTGGCGTCAGCAGGGGCGGAAAAATCATGGCTGCGGACGGCCGTCGGCGTTTATTTATCTTAGACGTTTGGCCGGACGCCGTCCTTTTTCCCAATGTATAATATTCCGGACACTTGGCCTCACGTACAAACAGAGACACGTACCGCCGTCGCTTAATCTGGTTAATGATATCGGAACAGTCTTTTTGTACCATTTTTTGTTGCGAAATGAATAATCGAACAGAGTTTCACCTAGAAATGATCCCGATAAGGAACCTTAAGGATTATGAAGATTGAAAAAAAAATTTTATCGCTTATTTTGGCTCTAGTTGATCGTTACGTCTTCAAAATCACTTTATTTGATTTTGTGAGGACTTGTGATCTTTCAGTCGCATTTAGAAGGACTCAATTCGTTGCGGAACGTTTCAAAATTATCCTGATGCTCTTTTGACATTTTTTTTACCATTCTAAAAAAAATTAGAGGGCTGAAAATTGATTAAAAACAATTTTTTACACGGAGCCATCCAAAGGGACCCCTAGCATCCGAAAATCTAAAAAAAAATTTTAAAGCCTAAGAACTACCTCAACTTGAGAAGAAAAAGAAAGAAAAAAATATGACCTCAATCTAATGCCATTTTTCTGAGAGCAAAACTTAAAAATAGGGTTTTTAAAAAGCATGAAGTTCTGAAAAAGTGAAGAAAAAATCGAAGAATTGAAAAACGATTATTAAAATTAAACCCAGGACGAGAAAAAAGCGTTACAGACTTCTGCTTTTCAAAACTTTAGCGCTTAAAGAAAATATACCATATTTGCGAGCTGAAACTTGAGCTTTAGGCTTTGAGTACACGAAAAAGCCGTGGACAAATATAGTCTTAAAAAAATATTTCGGGCCGAAATTTAAAGATTTTACTTGTATCAGTAGGCTTTCAAGCACAGAAAAAGCAAGAAAAAAACCATCAAAAATAAATACAAGAATTTTTCTAGGCGAAAGTGTCAGATCGATGTCAAAAAAAAATTGTTATGAATCTGAATTTCACAATTTCGACGCAAAAAGAAGCAACGACAACTGAAAATTGTTGCTGTAGACAGTCAGAAATGCTTTTAAAACGAAAATCAACACCTACATGCGTCTTTTGGCACACATATTGCAGCCAGATGCGCCCAATTTCCGGATGTTTTCACAAATAATTATTCAAAACATCTTAGGCGTGTTCGAATAAGTTTTAAAATCATAAAAACCAGATTCTCCCTTCATGTTCGGCTCTAATTTCAACAACATGACTAAAAAAATAAATTGGAGCTTTTTGATATGATATATTTCAACTTTAAAACCAGGCTTTTTTTAAAAACTAAAACCGTGATTTTAAACCTGAAACAGTGTATTGAAAAAAAGCTTGAATAGGTTGATTGGCCTGAAATTTTCGAGTTTAATAAACTTCGCTCACTTCTTTTTGGCATCATGGAATTCAGTCAATTTCACTCATTTAGAAAGGTATATAGATTTTTTTGTATTAAAACTGAAGCGTCCCGTAATAGCTATTTGATACATTAAATTCTCTATCAGTAGTCTTTGAAACGTATTGGAATGAGCTTTGTTGATGACGCGAACAAAATAATTTCGGCAAAAATATAAATGAACGTGAGAAAGTAACAATACAACTAGAACTCTGAAGAGTCACACGAAAAGAGTTTTAAAACTCAAATCTTGAATTATTAGTCTATAACCAAATTTTAAATAAAAAAAGTCGAAGCCTAGTCCAATATTTTTCAAAGGTCTACTACTACAAACTGATACAGATTTTCAAAATTCTGAGAAAAAAGGCGAAAAAAGCTTGCAGGGCTAATTAAAGTCACCCTTGAATCCTTTCCAGTCAAACAATAATTCTGAAAAGTAGTACAAGTCTTATGAAACGGCTGCAAACATCATAAATAAATAAATAACGGAAGAAGCGAGGGCGAATCGATACTGACCAAGGACCTTACTGATATGGCTACTCCTTATCTTATTAATGATTCTGAGCCAGACATTATTAGAGAAAAATTGAATTTTTCATGACTCAGTGAAACAATTTAAGCTAAAAAAAAACGATTACGGATTCGCCTTCAGTTAGATGAAACCAGGTGGGCCGAAACACGCGATGTCCACACCAAATTGCGTGTTAACGTCCGTTTCGGCCAACATTAATTGATCAAATTAGCCCTCGAAACGAGAAAAAAAACAAAAACTTTTCAAACGAGTTTTCAGCATTTTCTATGTAAAGAATAGTACATTTCAAAACAACAACGGCCTAAAAACAGTAGAAGAAAAGAGAGAAACCGAATTTAAAAAAAAAGTGAAAGAGGAAAAGAAAAAAGTTGAAAACTCTGCCTCGAAAACTGTGCCCGCTTTGCAGAACCGTTTTTAGGAAAAAAAAATTTTTAATTGTACAATCTTTTTTAAATTTTTTTCAAATTTTTTCTTATTTTGTATTAAAATTAATGCCGTGTTTGAATTAACACCGCGGAAATAAAGATAACCATCCGGGAGTCTAAAAAAAAGCTGAATTTTGGTGAGTCTGAGATAGCTTCGAATTTCGTAAATACTTTGAACACGGCAGTACTATTTTTTGTTCAAATGGAAACACGGTTTGTGAAAACCTTCAATTGATGGGCAGCAGGGGACATGGGGACGCTGGTAATAACGTTTCGGGACAAGGTCGACACGCTAGACTGCCGCCATCATTTTCCATCAAATGAGCCCTTTTCTGTGGATAAATCCCTTAATTTCCTACCTCACGGCCACCAATTATTGCGATAAAACTTTAATTTCTAATTTATCTCAGAAGAAAACCACAGATCTTTGATTTTTTTTTCAATTGTAGGTGCATATTTTAAATTTTTTTTTTCTATGATTCAGGTTTATTGAATGCATTGAAAAAGAAGAAATAGTAAGAGTAGATGAAAAAAGGTAGGATTCCACCTACTAACTCTGACACAGACTACCGAGTATCTAGGGCAATCCATTTTACGCTGAAAAAAGTAAACTCGCTCGGGTAAGGTTCAGCAAACATGTCTAAACAGGAAGAGAAACGGTTTTGGACTAGTTATCCAATTTTTGCGAAGGGGAACCTCGCGCTGAACTTTTAAAAATGTTTTATATATCAAATAAATTGTAAACTTTGAAGATTTTTGATTTTTTTTTTAAATTCAACTTTTTGGCTCAGAGTCCACTTGGATAAAAGATAATATAGCTTAAAAATTTTCGTTTGTGGACAGGTTACACAATTTTTTTAGACTCGAAATAAATTTATATATTAGTGACCTTTTTCAATCCATTTATCTGTCTATTTATAAGACTATTTCATGTTTTTTGTTATGTCACAAGAGATCCAACCACTTCGAGCGTGTTTGAAGCCGTGGATTTCAAAAATAAATTCTTTCCGCTCGTTTTTCAGCAAGAGCGCTCTGTCGCAATCGAAAAGGATGCCCCGAGGGCGGTTTGCGCCTCTTAAGTCTCTACTTAGGAGCCGTTTTCCCCGCGTTTTACGTGAAAACGTTTCAAACTTGCTTTTCTATTTTGTGTGTTTTAATCTTTCCATTTTTTGTTTTCTCAATTCAGATGGATGACGAAGGCGACAGTTTCGATGATGAGATCGTCTTTTGTAGTCAAGAGGAACAAAAGCCGGACATTTCTCAAGTTCAAAAGTTCAAAAAGATAAGTCTAATGAGATTTCGGTTCAGAGCTCCGTAGTTCAAGACTCAGACGACGATGAGAAGCCGAACGCGGCTAATGAGACCTACGTCGAGGATATTGATGAAGGGGAAGAAGAGAAGCGGGAGGAGGAAGTTCCTCCGAGTGATATCATCAAAATCTTGATCGCCACTGATATTCATTGCGGCTACGCTGAGAATAAGCCTATTAGGTATCGAGAAATTCTGGGCAAAGTCCGAAAAAAAAACCTTTTCGAAGCCTTCAAACTACGGACTGTTCGTTTGAATTCAAAGGGGTGCAAAAATACCTGTAGGGCTCAAAAATGAATCTTTTCACTAAGAAACTACGGTGACTCTTATTCACAGATCGAGTTCGAACTTTGGTGATTTATAGACCTAGGTCAGAATACTTGAAAAGAGAAAACTTGTTGAAAATGGACAGATTAGACTTGAAAAATTTCATGATGGTTCTTTTTTTCTTATTTCATCTTTTTTTTGCAATGGCCTTGACTGATTCAGTTGAAAGGAACACCAAAAATGTTGAATCTGCAAAAAAAAAATTTGAGAATATCAGTATGCTGAAGTTTTTCAAGTCGGATCTGCCCATTTTTAACAAGAGCTTTTTTGTTTTCTCATCAAGTTCAAAATATAATTTTTCTTCTTTTCAATTATTCTGATCTAGGTCTATAAACCACCAAATTTTGAACTCGACCCGTAAATAAAAGTTGCCGTAGTGTCCTAGTCAAGATTTTTTTCTCTGAAAAATTTCAAGTAAAGTTATTTTTTTATGATTCCAAAATGACGATTTTTCTGGCTCTAGAGTTATGTGAAGCCCTCCTAATGGAAAGTCAGAAAAAAATCTTTTTTTCAAGTATTTTTTTATACTCTGCCCTTGGCCAAAATTAGATATTTTTTTTTTCAGAAACTTGGACTCGATTAACACTTTTGAAGAGGTTTTGCAAATCGCGGTCGAGCGAAAAGTTGACATGATCCTTCTCGGTGAGAAACTGTCAACTTTTGAAAAATTATCTTTTTTTTAGCCGGTGATTTGTTCCACGAGAACAATCCATCGAGAGATTGTCAACATCGCGTCGTTCAGCTGTTGAGAAAGTATTGTCTGAACGATAACGAGGTGGTTTCTTGAAAGTTTTTCTTAAGAAAAAAATCTCAACTCACAAATAGAATTCCTAATAAATATTGAGCTTTGAAAAATTTTGGTGTTTTTTTGGGACCACTTTAAGCTCTCAAACTTCTTTCTTTCCTCCAGAAAAAAATTGTATCAAAAAAACCCGCTTTTTTTATTTATAGTAGGAAGGAAAAATTATTTCAATTAAAAAAACAGATCTTAGTTAATTTATAGCTACTTGAGTAAAGAAAAATAAAAAAATTAATGTTTCTTAGGCTTTTTAAAGATTGAAAGTGTTTGAAAAAAATTATAAAAGAAAAAAAGAAAAAAATTCGATTTTTTTGTAGTTTTTTTAATCGATATAAGCCTAATAAAAGTTTGTGTTTTTTCTTCAATTTCAAATAGTTGTAAGCTCACAATTCTCTTCTTTATTAGGGCTGGGAAATGTTGCTTTCATTGCACTTTTCCATTTTACTTCTGCCATTTTCAGTTCAAATGTGTTAATTTCCACAGGTCTCTTTGGAATTCCTATCCGATCCTTCAGTCAACTTCTCTCAGAGCCATTTCGGCAGGGTCAATTACTATGTAAGTTTAAAATTGCCGAAATAAGCCTATTTTCGGGCTCTTTACCTTGAAAATTGAATTCAAAGATCTTTTTTTTTTGTCCGAAATACCTTTTAGAAGGCATTTTTCGCTTCTGTCTTGTTTTATTTCAACTACTTATATTCTTCCCGTAAGTAGTGACTAAATCTGTTTTTATTATTTCTATAAAAAAAAAGTCATTTCAGGACGCCAATATCAATGTCGGCTTGCCGGTTTTCACTATCCATGGTAATCACGACGATATGGCTGGAAAAGTGAGGGAAATCTAATGAAATCGAGAAATAAATCAACGATTTTCAGGGCCTCACAGCGTTGGATCTTCTACACGAATCCGGTCTTGTGAATTTGTTCGGAAAACATGAGAATTGTGACGAGTTGGAGGTTGGGATATTCCTGTGTTTTTGAAAACTTTGAAACTTTGAAACTTTTATTCAGTCTTTAGAGAAGGTACTCTGCTGAATCATGGAAAAATTGAAGAGTTGTTTGTCGGTTCGCGAAACTGTTGTTGATCAAGGGTATACGGCGCGTAGAGCATCTCGCTTTTTTTGTGATAGTAGTAGACGATTTGCGAGCGTTTCCGACGATTATTGCTTCTCCATGTAGGAACAGTACGGCGCCCAGCTTGTCCAGGGCTGACGGGCGTCAGATTAAATCCCAGACGAGAGCGGAAATGAAGACCGACCTTTCGGGCAGTAGAAATAATAAAGTTATCAATTTTTAACTGATGATATAAACTCGTGGAATGAAATTTGCGATTTTTGAATTTCTTTCGTTGCATATTTTCATTTCGAGATATTTTTAGAATAGGCCTATGTTGCTGAATAAAGTTCGAGTTGATCCTAAAAATTGAGATTTCCGATGACTATTGAAATCACTTCTTTTATAAAGGCCCACATGAATCGAAATATTTTTTTAATAATTATTTTAAAATGTCTGGGAAATTCGCTAATTTTTTTTTCTAACCTTTTTCATACGGCTAGGGAACCTTCCTGCGAAGTTTCCGAATAGTCCCTTTCCAACTTTTTTTTTCCTCGATTAACTCTTCTTTTTGAAGTAGTTGATTTATGATTAAAACACAAAGAGATAGAAAAAAATGCTAACAGATTTTCCGAAAAAAATATAGGGAAAATAGGGATTCGTCGGAAACTGCTCTGTCGGAAAGTTCAATGGCGATATGAAAAAGTCGGAAAAGTCTACGTTAATAATTTCGTTGGCTTTTTCATACCACCGATTTTCTCACTTTCTGACGTTTTATTTCTTTTTTGTTTCCGAATATATTTTAAAAATGCCATCAACAAAGCTAATTCCAATACGTTTCAATGACTAATCATAAAGAATGCAATGTATCAAATAGCTATTACGGGACGCTTCAGTTTTAACACAAAAAAATCTATATACCTTTTTTAAAAAAGTGAAATTGACTGAATTCCATGATGCCAAAAAGAAGAAAAAGAAGTGAACGAAGTTTATTATACTTGTTAATTTCAGGCCAATCGAACGGCGACTTTTTCGATCTTCTCATATCGCTAGGGAACTTTTTCGAATAATACTTTTTCCAACTTTTTTTCTCGATAAAATTTTTCGTTTCGAATCTTCCTATATAAAAATAGGTAGTTGATTTTTTTGATCAAAACACATAGAAAAAGGAAAATAATGTTAATATATATTTAATGAACCGGAAAATATAGGAGAGAATAGTCGGAAAGTTCAATGGTTTTTTTTTTCTAAACGTGATTTTTTGTCACCTCAAAATTTCAATTTGTTTTTTTGGTGCTTTCTCATTCAATAACTTTTCTTGTTTCTAGATCTCTCCTATACTACTGCGAAAAGGAGAAACCCGCTTGGCCTTGTATGGTATTGGAAGCCAGAGGGACGATCGGCTTTGTCGGGCTTTTCAGGTCTTTTTTTTTTTATTAAATTCCATTTTTCGTGCTTTTCATTCAATAGAAATGTTTCCTATTGCATTTTGTGAATATTTATTTTTTCAGAAAGAAACGATCAATTTCTTGCGACCAACAAATGGCGCCGAAGATTGGTTCAATCTCTTGACCCTGCATCAGAATCGGCCACAGAGGTACTGGAAATTTCGCTTTTTTATGCCTTTCTTTGTAATTTCGTATCTAAGTGTGTTTTTGTAAGTTTAATTTTAAAAAAAAAGACTTATTCTGTTCACCTTGGACTTGGTTTCTTTAAAAAGCTTCTTTTGCGAAAATCATAAATGGGCAAGTACAGAACCTAGTCAGGTTGAGAAGAGGTAGGCTTACAAAAATTTCACAAAATTAGAATCAAAATAAAGTTTCAACTAGGGATGTAGTTCCGGTCATAATAATAAATGATTAACCCTCAGGGAGGTAGTATTAAATTTGATATGAAAAAAATTGGAAGGACTTCAAAAATGGTCTGCTTATAGAGAATTTTTGAAGGAATTACTTGTTGTATAACGATTCTACCAAGAAATTAATGTACTTCTATGAGTTTTACTTCCCTGGGAAGATTTGTGAATTTTTGTGTTAAAACTGAAGCGTCTCGTAATAGCTATTTGATACATTAAATTCTTTATGATAAGTCTTTGAAACGTATTGGAATGAGCTTCTTTGATGAGTTGACCAAAATGATTTAAGTGTTTTTGAGAAATGGAACGTCAGAAAGTGAGAAAGATAACGTAAATTTCGGAGAGGCAGGTATAATATTTATTAGGAAATTCGTGGAATGAAGCTGTTTTGCTTTCAAAAATGAAATTTAAAATTTTTCGCCAATTTTAGAGCCGTCCATCGTTCCACCGGCGCCTACCTGCCGGAACAATTCATCCCTTCTTTTTTCGATTTAGTTGTCTGGGGACATGAACATGAATGTATTAAAGGTAAGAATAATTCTGAAACAGTTAAATTCGCCGTCGTTCATTTTTCAGGTTGTTTCGTTTTAAGTTCAAAAAATAAGCAATCAAAAGAAGTCTGTAATCGAAAATTGAAGGAATAGAAGGGAAATCTGTTTTAAGCAAGAAAAACTGCTTTAAAGTTCAACTTGATTTATTTTTTTACTAGAGATAGATCAACTTGAAGAAAAAGCATACCCAAAAAAATTAGGACAACGAAAAACAAGAGATTTTTTAAGCCATTTTGCGTGGAAACTCGACCCGTTTTGACTATTTTTGTGTTAAAACTGAAGCGTCTCGTAATTGCTATTTCTTGAATTGAATCATTTATGATTAGTCTTTGAAACGTTTTAGAATGAGCTTCTTTGACGCCGTTTGATATTAATCTCATTTTAAAAATTCTCCTTTTTTTCACTGAAAAATCGGGAACGAAGTACTGATTTGAACAGATCCCAAGTACAAGGCTTCATCGGAAATCGTTGGAGACGGGTTTTATATTCTACAGCCGGGATCAACTGTGGCGACTTCTCTCACAGCGGATGAAGCCAAACCGAAGCATGTCTTTGAAGTAAAGGTAAATTGGATGGAAAAGAAACTTGAGAAAGTCCAAAGAATGGATAAACAGACATTGAATGAACATTTTGTGAAGGTGTCGATAATTAGTTTTAAAAAAAAATTTCATAATGAGTGGATTTTTAATTTTTTTTTTTTTAGTTGATGAGTGTAAAAATGCTCACGAGGATCTTCAGATTGCAGAAGTTGAAAGCGAAAATAGTAAAATTTTGAGATCATAAGTGATAATTTTCGAACTTTATATTCATTTCAAGGAGCAGGTTAAGAGAAATTTCTTCGAATATTATGAATTTTGTGACCCGTTAAAAACTAGGAAGAGTTTATAGTTTCTATGACTAAGTTCATATTAGGACGTGTAAAATGAATTGAGTTGTGAGAGAATGGAAAAAAAAAATAGAAAGTGAGATTTCTGTATTGTAGAACAGTTCATGGTGAACTTTCAAGAGAGTAGAATCTCGGAAATTTTTCTGGAATTTTTCCGTAAAAAAAAACTATAAAAACTCAGATCCGAGGCCGAAAGTTCGCCTGCAAGCCGATTCCACTTCAAACTACGCGACAAGTCCTGGTCGACGAGATCGTTCTGGACAAAGTGGAGCCGCCGTTTCGGCTCCCGGCGACTGGAGTCCGACCTCCGCCGTCTCAGGGACCACTCCCGGTACTGGAAAAATGAAGGAAAATTGCACTTTTGGTAGCATTTCTATTGAAAAAGCAGTCCAACTTGTCTAAAGTTGCTCAAATATCTGCGTTAATTCGTTAGATGCGCGATAATCTTTCTGGAACAGGAACTGGGGGAAAGTTCTTTTTTTTTTACGGAATTTCAAGCTTGAAAACTTGCAAGAAGGTTTATAGTTGAAAAGAGATCAGTAGGCCCCTTGATGATCTAGAGGCAGGTCCTAGACGTTTCAAGCTTTAATATATCCTAGTTTTTGATTTAAAAAAAAGGTTTCAAGGTTGAAGACAGCCATCAAAAAAAGACTCTTATGAGACTTTGAGATGGTCAAAAATTGTAAATATGTGTACTTTGACTTTTAACATAAGATTGAAAAGTTTACCATACGATATTGTGGCTAAACTTTATGAAATGCTCGGCTACGAAATGAAATTACCTTTATTTTGGTAATTTTCTTATTTTTCAACTGGTTCAACTGCTCAAATCGGATCAAATTGAACAAAAAGGCAAATTCCAATACCTTGAATTTTTGAACTCTCCGCGTAAGACCACGGATTCGAGTCACGCGCTTAATTTAGATGAGGAAGGTGCGAAAACCGGCACGGGTCGGTTGCACCCGGATAGGGGGATATATAAACGATCGCCCCATGTGACATTCCGTTCTTCCGAGAACATATACTAAAATTGGAACAATACAGAGAAGATTAGCATGGCCCCTGCGCAAGGATGACACGCAAATTCGTGAAGCGTTCCAAATTTTTTGCACCTTTTTAACTTCCAAAATTTTGTTATCTTGGAAGTAGTTTCAGGACATACGCAAGAAATTAAAACTTATGTCCGGAAGAGTTTCTTTGAAAACAATTCCAAAAAGAAAAAACAAATCCAAGTTTTGATCTTTGGAGATCAAATTAACGAAAATAAAGTTGATTTTAAACTCAATGAAGTAAACCGAAAGCAGATCTTCCTTACTTTTACCTGAGTTGTAAAATAACATAAAGAAAAAAAAAATCAAATTTTGGATAAAAAAGCAAAAAGTTTGGAACGCTTCACGAATTTGAGTCCATCCTTGCGCATTGCATGCCGGGCCATGCTTTTCTGTATTGTTCCAATTTTAGTATATGTTCTCGGAAGAACGAAATGTCACATGGGGCCATCGTTTATATATCCCCCTGTCCAGGTGCAACCGACCTGCGCCGGTTTTTCGAACCTTTGTAGTCTTTTTAGTGACTCAAGATCCCGGTCTTTTTGAGACAGATCAAGGTCTCTGAAGTTTGTTTTAGATTTTTAACAGTACAAAAGTATTTTTACTACGTTTCATGAACTTTTATCTAATTTTTGAAAGTAAAAAAATTATGCAGGACGAGTCCGGCATCATGGAGAAGCTGAACGAGATGATCAAAGAAGCAAGGAAGGCCCGAGGTCCTAAACAACCGGAAATGCCTTTGATTCGGCTCAAAGTTACTTATGCTGGAGAATGGGCAAGGATGCAGGTGATTGAACTATTTTTAGATGTAATGAAAGCCCTGAAAAATTCAAAGATCAAACATTTTTTGGGAGTTGGACTATCTTGTAGAGCCGGAAAATCGAACAAACTAAGAAACTCCAGAGTGGTCCCTATGGGGCCCCTTAGAGGGTCTCCTCTAGGGGGTCTAGGAGCCACTTTGCCAACCTTATAGGGGCCACTAAAGCTTGCAAAAGTGGTATTTAAAAGGGTTTTTAGTTAGTGTGGCCCCTATAAAGGACATGCTAGTAGAAAAAAAATTGTTATGAACTCTAAGCGAAGAAGAATTTCCATGGGAAAACCAAGCTTTATGAATGAATTTGATAGACCGCTATACGGTTCACTTGAGCTTCAGGGGCTAAGAGGTCAGACCCTAAATCCCTATAGGGACCACCTTAATTTTACTTCTATAAGGACCGCTTTTTCGGCCCCTATAGGGGTTTTTCCTCCTTATCCCTATAGGGACCGCTCTGAAATTCCTAAGTAAGTTTTGGTGGTATGAAAAAAACACCAGCGAAAATTCAAACGCCGACTTTTCCGATTTTTTCAAATCGCTAGGGAACTTTCCGACGGCCACCTTTCCGACGAAACTTTTTCCGACTTTTTTTTCTCGATAAACTCTTCGTTTTACATCTTCCTATATAAAGTAGGTAGTTTGTTCATACTTAAAACACAAAGAAATAGAAAAAAAATGTTCATAGATGTTTTATAAACCGAAAAGCATAAGAGAAAAAAGTCGGAAAAAGTTTCGTCGGAAAGGTGGCCGTCGGAAAGTTCCCTAGCGAAATGAAAAAATCGGAAAAGTCGCCGTTTGAATTTTCGCTGGTGTTTTTTTCATACCACCAAGATTCCGTGTCTTCATGGCCTCATTTTCGTTTGAATTTTGAGCAAAATTTAACTTATTTGAAACTTTGAAACTTTTGAAACTTTTATTCAGTCTTTAGAGAAGGTACTCTGCTGAATCATGGAAAAATTGAAGAGTTGTTTGTCGGTTCGCGAAACTGTTGTTGATCAAGGGTATACGGCGCGTAGAGCATCTCGCTTTTTTTGTGATAGTAGTAGACGATTTGCGAGCGTTTCCGACGATTATTGCTTCTCCATGTAGGAACAGTACGGCGCCCAGCTTGTCCAGGGCTGACGGGCGTCGGATTAAATCTCAGACGAGAGCGGAAATGAAGACCGATTCTTTGAAGATTCTAACTCATTTCTACCACCCCGAGTGGTCGGTCTTCATTTCCAACTTATTTAATGAGGTTTTAATAAAGTTCTAAAATTTTTATGAACTGGAACCTTGAACTATCCATAAGTTAAAAAACGAAATCGATACATGATGAAATCGTCCTTTTTTTCTACTTGGCTCTTATTTTCAGCCAATCAACGCCGTAAGGATCGGGAGCAGGTACGAGGATGTTGTGGCCAACGCCCTCGAGATGATTTCGATTAAAAAAGTTGTTCTCCTGTAAAATCTGGGACATTTATCAAAATATTTTCTAAGAAGTCCGATCGGAAAAAGAGACACAAAGAGGATGATTCTTCGGAGCCGATGGGCAATGTTAGCGCTGCAAATTTGCAGCTTGTCGTGAGTTTCATCGGTTTTTTTTTCTTCTCAAAAAAAATTCTTAACCGCACGGTATGTTCAGTAGTTGTTCAAGATGAGAAGAAGGCATGGAAAATTGATAATTCATTACTAGACTAGCGATTACAGAAAAGTCCATTTTACTTGGAATTTTCAGAAATTGGACCCGAATACTTTTCAATGCACTGAATTCAGGTTCTTTGAAATTCTCAAACCGGGAAAGCTCGCTCCTTTTTGAAAAAATATAGCAACCCATTTCCTTACTACGAGATTTCACTACGCGCATAACCTAGACTAGGAAGGTGCGAAAACCAGTGTAGGTCGGTTGCACCTGGACAGGGCTATATATAAACGATGGCACCAGGTGACATTCCGTTCTTCCGAGAACATATACTAAAATTGGAACAATACAGAGAAGATTAGCATGGCCCCTGCGCAAGGATGACACGCAAATTCGTGAAGCGTTCCAAATTTTTTGTCTTGTTTTGTATAAAGTTTCTATTTTTCTAAACGCCATAAAAATCTTTTGAAAACGTAATAATCTGAAATATTGGGCTACACTTTCTTGATAACTAGGAAGTTCGAGTTTTAAGATTTTCAAAACCTTTATCCAATACATGGAAAGGTATTCTGGTCTAATTTGAGGAGATGGCAAGTTAACTGGACTTTCTTTTTAGCTACAAGTTCAGTTAAAGTTTACCAAACTATTACAAGGAAAACGCAAGGTCCGCTTAAGAATTCGATGAAATTTGGCTTAGTTATTCAAGTTATTTCAATAAAAACTATGCCTTGAGCTTTTTTATGTAGTTATGAAACCTCAAAGACGCCAAAAAACCTTCTTTTCCTTCTTTATAGTTGAAAATATTTCTTTGCAGCAAAATGAAAATCGTTTTTGGTTTCTGATGCGTCATTAATTTACAGAAAACACTCTTTTCTATGCTGAGTTAGAATCACGATGTCATAAAGTAAGCCATCCTTCATCAAATCGTCAACCGGTCGCATTTTGCGTTTTCTTGTATAAAGTTAAAAAAACTGTTTTTTGCATCTTTAATGTAAGAATATGTACATGTGCAATTGACTTTCATTGATTTAATTGTGTTTAAACGGCGGTAGGAGATGTGGCTTAGGCAGAGAAGTTGTGAATTTTGCTCGTAGAACATCAGGTACAAGAGAGGTCGTAGGCAGAAGTACTTTACCAAGTCCTAATTGAAGTCGTATTTGTCATCATCTTCTCAGATCGCCGCCCATTTCAACTCTTTGCCAGTGGAACAACGAATGACGGTTTTGAAAGATAGTGGAATCGGCAGAGCTTTGGAAATTTATGCCGATGGGGAGGTTAGTTTTTCGAAAAAATACATTCAAAAATCAAAATAATGTTCAGACAGAAACCACAGCGTCGAGGTCGAATACTGATTTCGTTGCGCAGATCAATGTATTTTTTTATCGATTCGATTGAAAAAAAGAATTATTTATAGACCCAAATCGATTTCGTCCGGAACAAGCTCAAAGAAATGCCCGAACCGCCTGTGGAAGTCATGGTTAAATATTAATTTTTTTAAAAAAATATACCGTATAAAAAGTGATATTTTTAAGGAAGACGGCCAAATCGACTTCTTCTCGTTCCAAGCCGCGATTCAAAACGATTTGAAAACGATGAAGGCCATTTTTTACGAGGTCGGCGAGAACAATTTTCAAAGATTTTGACTACTCAAATACACTCATCAAATAAGTATCGAAGTAGAGAAGAAAATAATTATTTAAGAAAGCTGAACTCGAAGTGGGATTTTTGAGATCAATCTATAAGGTTGGCTGGTTAGAAATAATGCCGTGTTCAAAGTAATTTTGCGAAATGCAAAATGATCTCTGACTCTCCATAATTTAGTTATATTTTTCATTCTCTGACGGCTATTTTGCATTTCGCGAAATTGCTTTGAACACGGCATAAGCTTTTAGGCTTTTTCGATTCATATTATTTTTTTTCCAAGATAAGATTTTCAAAAAGAATAAAGAAAGGTCGTTGGTGAAAAACCATGCTAGCGATTGAAAATTATTTTTCGGATCTATCAATCCTTATCAAGTTTTAAGGAGGTTGAACAGATAAAATATCGCCTCATTCTAACCGGCCAAACTAATAAATTTATATAGGTTATTTGAATTTGTTTCAAAAATTTCATTGGATTCCAGAAAAATATTTCCTTATCGAATAATTTTCTTCTTGAAGTTTCTCTGGCCTTTTTTCATAGTTACCTATTTAGAATATAAGTTCTCATAAAAGAATCTACTAACATGATTGATTCAGTAAAAAAGACAAAAAATTTGGAACGCTTCACGAATTTGCGTGTCATCCTTGCGCAGGGGCCATGCTAATCTTCTCTGTATTGTTCCAATTTTAGTATATGTTCTCGGAAGAACGAAATGACACCTGGTGCCATCGTTTATATATCCCCCTGTACAGGTGCAACCGACCTGCACCGGTTCTCGCAGATTTATACATTACAATATGGGCGACTATTATTTGACAACTGGTTTAAAAACCGAATTTTTTTCTGAAGTGGTTTTCATCTAATAGTCATTCATCGCTTCGAAATTATGATTTTCTCTAAATGTTTATTTTTTTTTCAATAGCTTCAAAAGGGTGGGACTTATTTTGCAGCAGTTGATTTTGAGAATATATTGACTAGGAAACGTTTTCTAGTCCCCGGAACATTTGATGAAGCTATTCTGTAGTGTACTTTAGAACCTCCTGATCGCGAAATGAGAAGAAACTTTCTCGCGATAGGTCTTGTATTTGAGTAATAACGGTCCAAGAGCTAATATGGCGCTTTTTGTCATAGTTAGCGTGTTTTGAGAACTTCGAAGGTTCATAAATAGAAAACGAGATCTATTACGAAACATTTTTTCTTGCTCTGGTATCAGGAGGTCCTAAAGTACACTTCAGCAAAGTTTCATAAAAATTTCAAGGGGGTCTAAACAATTTCCTTGTGAGATCAGTAGTGAATTCGTCCATAACTGAAGGAATTGAAAAGCGTATAACTTGGCCTTTTCTTTCAGAATGAGTCGAAAAACGGCGATGAATCCATGTTCGACGAGTCAGCCTTCTCCGCTGCCCCGCCTCGTCGGAGCAACGAAAGCAACTTCAGTCGACGGGTTGACGACGACGATGACGTCACTTTCCTCGGAGACGTCGGGTCGACAAGCTCCGCCAAGCCGACGAGGGGAAGAGGTCGAGGTCGAGGTCGTGGAAGGGGTCGTGGCTCTCCGAAGAAAAAAACCCCAGAAAAAAATACGTATTCGGATGATTCTTTTTGATTTATTTGTAAAATTATTTATTTGTCCATTTTTTTGTAGAAGATTTGTACTTATTGGCTCAAAATTGAATGCAGTTTTTTTCACGCTAGTTTTAAGTATATGCTTGATTGTTTCCGGAAAGTTCTGAAGTTGAGAAATATATGACTCAAAACTTCATTAGGAAAGTATTTTTTTACATAACATAATTCTTTAACTTTGGCCGAAAAAAATGAGCTAGAAAGGCTTTATTTTCTCAGTTCTGAACAGTTAGAACTTATTCTCCGGTTTCGGAAGCTCTGAGCCAGCGTGAAAAATGATTTTTGATTCAGTGAGTCTCATGAAAAGTCCTTTTCTTTTCAATTTTTGGCTTTAAAGTTTGTCAAATTTTTTATTTACCTTCATTTATTTTCCTGAAATCATGATCTTTTAAATTTTTTTCATTTTTTTGAGTTTTCCAGTCCTCATCTACCTCGAAGGCTCAGTCCTTAACTTCAACTTTTGCTCACTTCTGATTTTTTTTTAATTTCTTGTTTTTTTGATAATGACGCATCATTACAATTGCACTTTTCTCTCGATAAAAATTGCCTTTTTTTCAATTCTCACCATTTCTTCTAAAAAAAAAATCTGAAATGACTCTGATAACGGCGTAATTCTTTCTAAAGGTTGTTTCTACCCCTATGAGGAAATTATTTTTATTGCACTTTCTGCCATTTTGACCAATTTCAGCACGACTGTTTTAATAAACGATCTCTTGTAGCTATCAAAGTAAATAAATGCGTTTCGAATCGCTTTATTTCATGTCCCATTCCTTCGAATCTTCAATATTATTGCAGCGCAGGTGCCTGGAAATGAAGCTTCTGACGGACGTCGGCTCGTCTTTTGGCAAGGGAATCTTCGGAATTTCGATGGTGACCGGAGGCGTCGGAATATCTCCACTTATTGGGGAGCCGAAGAACTTTCGAGGCTCCAGGGCTATTTCGATCGAGGCTGCGTCTGGAAAAAGGTCTGTTTTCGTTTTTGATATAGTTTAGAAACTAGGAATCGTTTGAAAAAATTACTCGTATTTCAAATCTCCTTGGTAAATTCTAGGTGCTTCGAGTCTTCCATTTTTAGAATCTTCTATCGACATTTCATTCAATTTTATTTAATAAAAATCGTCCTTTTCCTATTTTAACACCTTTTTCCTTAAAAAAAAGTTAATTTCCAGCAAAACTCCTTGGAAGAATGTTCGAAAAAGCCCCCTTGTATAGAATCTACCATTTAGGCCTTCTCTGTTTCCGCAAGAGACAAAGGAACAAATTTGAAAGGTCTGAAACTCCCGCCACTGCTCTAACCTCATCTAGGGACTTGCGGGACATGCCTGACCTAGACTAGGAATGTGCGAAAACCGGTGTAGGTCGGTCGCACCTGGACAGGGGGATATATAAACGATGGCGCCAGATGTCATTTCGTTCTTCCGAGAACATATACTAAAATTGGAACAATACAGAGAAGATTAGCATGGCCCCTGCGCAAGGATGACACGCAAATTCGTGAAGCGTTCCAAATTTTTTTTCTTTTTTCCTATTTACAAAACTTTCTTGATTGGGACTGGTTTGAGATAAAAAATCATGTTTTTTTTTCCTATTATATAAATAGTTTAGTATTTTGTGATTTAGGAAAATCGAAGACACGTAGCAAATAACATAGGCGACTTAATTTATCTTCATTCTTTATTTTAAAGAAAAGGCATTTTACTTTAAATCTTCTGGTAACTTCATAAAAAAAAATTAATTTTCCTTTTATCGCAACCAGGGATGTTGGACATCACGATGTGATTCCCGTCGGGCTTTGAAAAATCGAGATAAAAACTCATTTTTTACAAATTGTTTAATTGAAAAAGAGATCACAAAGTGGAGTTAATATTTTTTTTAAATGAAAAAGACAAAAAATTTGGAACGCTTCACGAATTTGCGTGTCATCCTTGCGCAGGGGCCATGCTAATCTTCTCTGTATTGTTCCAATTTTAGTATATGTTCTCGGAAGAACGAAATGACATCTGGTGCCATCGTTTATATATCCCCCTGTACATGTGCAACCGACCTGCGGCGGTTTTCGCACATTCCCAGCTGATTGGGCGCGGCATGGTCTTTCTTAACCTTTTTTTAACGAATGAAAGCTAACCTGGAGACTTTTTGTCGAAGAGCGGTTGGGGTGAAGGCGTAGGAGCCGGACGCCAGTGGCGATTTTCCATTTCTTGTTCTCGTTTGACGAAAAATATAATTGTTCCAATAACTGACATTGCTATCCTGAAAGAGAAAAAGATTCGAAACCGACATTTAATTCAAAAAAAAAGTATAATACCCACATGAAAATTATAACACCGGAATAATCCGTACAACAGCCGGTAGTACAGCAGAAGGAACCGTAGCCGCACTGAATATTTTCAAAAATTGTGTATTTTTGTTTGAAGAAAACGGAAAAAAGTACCTGTAAGGAGTTTTCTTCACTACTTCCGCATGGAACACTTATATTCATCCAATAGTCTTCCATAACTCTGAAATTATGATATTCAGGATTGTTTGCATTTCAGACGCAATTTCGGGAAGGTTTGAGAAGTGACGGAATATCTTAAATATTGGTGATAACAGAGGACTTTTCTTGATTTTAATCCAGAATTCAATGCCTAGGGTTCCAGGAAGCTTGAGGGTAGTTTTGCAAACACAAAATTGATAAGATTTCAAATATTTTCATCATTTTTGAGCAAACATTTGCTATGAAGCATCAAAAAGCTTTAGGATAGCTTTGATGTGATAATATAATTTTCCCATTTTTATAAGTTTTGTTTTCATGAATGATTGTAAGGCCGAGAAATTTTGATTTTTGAGACTTCGCCCAATTCAGAACAGAAAGTGAAGTTTCTTAGTCCAAGGATTTTATCAATGGTTTTTTTAAATCTCAAAATTATTTTTTTATAGTTATTTTTTTGATTATTTTCCGTTAGAAAAAAATAGGTATCAAAAAAAGCTCTCTAATTTAAACTCTAGGAAATATTTAGAGCAAGCGCTGGTTGAAATTTTGAATTTAACCATTGCTGAATGATAAAAGTTACACAGAATAAATTTCAACAAGATTTTTATGCAGTTGAAAATCTCACTTCTCTATACAACGTCTATGTTAACTCACGCTTCGGTTATATAAAAAAAAACAAAGAGCTTGCGGGACGCGTCTGACCTAGGCTAGCAAGGTGCGAAAACCGGCGCAGGTCGGTTGCACCCGGACAGGGGGATATATAAACGATGGCAGCAGGTGTCATTTCGTTCTTCCGAGAACATATACTAAAATTGGAACAATACAGAGAAGATTAGCATGGCCCCTGCGCAAGGATGACACGCAAATTCGTGAAGCGTTCCAAATTTTTTGCCCCTTTTTCCTCAAATTGTTACAAAAAGTGAAAGTTTGGGGTTCACCCTGATCTGTCAATAAATTAATAATATTAAAAAAGCTTCGAAAAAAACTTTGTCATATAACAACTTTTCTACCCCCTGTTACTTCTAATCTAAAACTTTATATCCTGTAGTAGAGACTAAAATTGGGAAAACGAAAAAAATAACCTTGACGTCGTAAAAACTCGGAATCGAGGATTCTAGTATCACTTGATCATTCCAGAATGTGTGTAGAAGGAATTTGAAGGGAGCAAACCTGGCGAGATCGCATGGCTAATGGGATGAGATCGCGTGAGTGTTAAAGACCACCGGATATTTTTCGTTTCAATTTTGGGAGCTTTGAAATTGTCGGAGTTGACAAATTTGAAAATTTTTCGTTGAGATGGGAAACAATTTAATTCTACAAAGCCAGATGTTTTTTCATGAGAACAAAAAATTGAGAAATAATATAGTGAACGAGAGCAGTAAGAATGTTTCCTTATTCAAAAATATTTATTCTTGAAACTGTATCAAGGAATTTATTTAAAAAAAAAGACAAAAAATTTGGAACGCTTCACGAATTTGCGTGTCATCCTTGCGCAGGGGCCATGCTAATCTTCTCTGTATTGTTCCAATTTTAGTATATGTTCTCGGAAGAACGAAATGACATCTGGCGCCATCGTTTATATATCCCCCTGTCCGGGTGCAACCGACCCGTGCCGGTTTTCGCACATTCCTAGTCTAGGTTAGACCAGTGGTCCTAGTTTCTGCTCTGCTTGCCAAGGAAAAACTTTCTGCCATGATTTTAAGGTTTTTTTGAGGAACATTTCCGTGAGGAGATTCACGAGAAAAAGAATCTTTATATATAAATTACGATTATTAGCAAAAGAATTTTTGCTATGGGCAAGAAAGTAGTCCGAGCATGTTCAGAAGGAAGAGTTCCCTCCTTAGCTTTGTAAAAGACTTTGGTCCTTTACTAGATGTTGTAGCATCCTTAACAACTTTATCATTACAGCTTAGAGTTTCGAAAAAAAAAGCTGAAATTCGCTAATTTTTATATATTTCTTTGTGATCTCTGTCGTGTGATCCCCACGAAATGCCCTGAGGCGGTGTTGACATTTGTGTGAGAATGACCGGTCGAAGAGAAGTGAGAAAGTGCGGACAGTGGAGTAATAGAATGGATTTTGGGAGAGATGGATGAAAATTCGACGCGACAGCTGATGTTCCACACCACACGGTTGTAGATCTCTTTTTCCACGCAAACACAATTTATTTTTGTGGCTTTTTATCTGACTTTTTGTTGTTTTTGGGCCAGTTTTGAGTGCAATAGTCGAGTTTTTTCGCTTCAAAGGCAAAATCTAGCTGATAAAGTGATTCTAAATTCCTGAGAAGGAAGGTCGTTCTACTTTGCTGTTAAAAATTTCTGGAATTTCGCTCAAATATTTTCTGAAGACTATAATAAGATTTCTAGTAGTTGCTCCCTTTTGGAGTTATGAGTTCTTGAAGTTACGTTCAACACTTAGTCAGGCCTGGATCCACAAAACGGCAACTTTAAAATATTTCGTCTCGAAACGGAAATTTTACGCAGACAGAGACTATAAGGATCTCAAAAAAAAACGTTCATTCAAAAACGATTTTTTATTCCCATGGTGATGCTTCTTCGCTTGTTGTTTATAACATTTATCGACTAGTATGTTCCCTTTAGGGGCCACTAACTGAAACTCTTATAGGGACCGCTTTTGCAATATCTAGAGGCTCCTATAGGATTCCTAAACTCCCCCCTATGGGGACCACTCTGTAGTAGGTATAAAGATCAGCCGCTACGCGCCTGACCTAGACTAGGATTGTGCGAAAACCCGCGCGGGTCGGTTGCACCTGTACAGGGGGATATATAAACGATGACGCCTGGTGTGATTTCGTTCTTCCGAGAACATATACTAAAATTGGAACAATACAGAGAAGATTAGCATGGCCCCTGCGCAAGGATGACACGCAAATTCGTGAAGCGTTCCAAATTTTTTGTCTTTTTTCATAAATTCCTTGATACAGTTTATAGAATAAGTTTTTTAAATAAGAAAACATTCTTTCTTTGCGTCCTTCACCAAATTTTTGTTAATCAATGAGAAATTTATTGCATTTTCTAGAGACCCATTCTAAGAATATTCAAAAGTTCTTTAGTTCTCCAACCAACTTCCTAAATTAAAATCAGGTTTCAGGACTATTATCGCCTGAATCATTTCCTTCTTCCAGGTGACCAAAAAATTGGAAATATGGTCGAAAAATCAGGTTGCATTGTTACACATTTTGTTCCTGCAGAAACGTAGAGCCTCACAAATTACGCTTTAATGATCATATGATCTCTTAGAGGAAGTTTCCGGCTTCTTTGTTCCTTTTTATTTTATTTTTTTCGCGTCAAGTTTATTTGGAGTCTTTTCTTTAAGCAATATCCAGTACAAAGAGTCCTGGATTAATTGAATAGGTTGAAGTTTTTTTTGGTCTGGTCTTTTTCTAAAAAAATAAAAAAAGTTGGGTTATTTGGGTTTTTGCTTTAGAACCCGGTTTTTCTATTCGTCTCGAAACCTTCATACGAAAAAGTGATCTTTCACAATAAATTTTTTTAAACTTTTTATAATTCATCACTTATTCGCCTGAACTTTCCCGTTTTCCGTGCTATTTCCGAACTTCTATGAGCTCACCGTTGAGAAAAAGAGAGCGCAAACAGATCAGAACTTCTGAGATCTCTTCATTGAATCCGAACTTTTTCCGAAATCTTTGACTCAGCCCAACGAAACCCCTAACTTTGCACCAATGATTCTTTTCGAAAATACAAAATGAGGTGTTTTGTACGCATTCCTACAACTTTTCTTGCAAAAAATTGTTTTGTCGGCCGACGTGAGCCATGTGATTCGTACCTCCGCCTGACCTTTTCCCCAATTGTCGCCCAGTTGTTTTGAGTTTTCGATGCAGATTTTTCGAATTGGCGCGTTGCCATATGGTTCCCAAAAAGCTGTCAACAACTATTTTTCCTTTTTGTACGGTGGAGGCGACCGTTGTTGGCAACTGGTTCTTCCTCCCTTTCTTGCACCGAAAAATGGCCACATTTTGCCTTGTTTGGGCCTTTCGGCAGTGTTGACTGTTTCTATTTGGTTTTACCTCTTTTTTCAATTTTTGGGTGGTTTTCACGGTATCGAGGCGATGAAATTTAAGGTTTCACTGTTTCCCGGTGCGTAGTCCGAGATTTGAGTGAGAAAATTGCAGATGATTGCACTTTTAATATTTTTTTTTGTACTTTTTGGGCTTCTGAAACATCGAGGGTTAAACAATGAGCCTTTTATTTTGAAAATCTTTTTTTTGGCCCTGAAAAAAAGCTGCCTTTCTTTGGGATTTTTTTTCGAAATTTCGAGTTTTGTTAGATAATTTTTCCAACTATAGCTCTACAGGATCCCCTAGTTCAATCACCAGGACTTTTATTTCCAATTTTTTTGAAATTTGAGCTTCTGTGTGTACTTTCATGCCTTTTTGCTAGATTCTAAATGTTTTTTTATTTTTTTTCAAAGTTTTGACACTTTGCTTCAAATTCCGTGGTTTGGCTAGTTCAGTTTTTGAGGTTTGAAATTTCAAGGTAAAAATCATGTATAATTTTTGAGATCCGGGCTGAGGGTTATTTTAATGTGGGCTTGGTCTGATTTTCAGAAGATATTTATTAAAAAAATAGTATCGTTGAAAGGATGAGAAGAGAGAATATGTATCAAAAAAAGTTTATAAATGAGAATAGTGAATATTTTTGTTTTGAAGAATTTTTCTGAATATTTGTTCAAAAAAATAATATTTGTATTTGTTTCAGAATGGCTGTTCAATGTAAAACTCAGCATTGAGGTTTTTTTCTTTTCTTAATTTGTTGGTGGGTTTTTGTGAGGATCAGAAATCCAACCAGTTCTATCTAAACTTGCCCAATTTCTTATTCTCTAAGAAATGAGGCGGGAAAGTCAAGGAAACTAGGAAAACTCGTGAAAAGGGGTCCTACTGAGGTTTTGAGACCTTTCTTCCTCAAAAACCATCAATTTTTTTTTTCATTCTATAACTTATCTTTATATTCATCTTCATCGAAGCTCTGAAGTTTTCTTTTCCTCGAACAATTTTGAAAAAATTACAGAGCAAAAGAAATTACACCGCTGTAGGTAAATCTACGTGGAAACTCGAAATTTTTCGAAAAAACACCTCCTCTTTCATTGTGTCCACTCCACTGAGAATGTTTCTCGAAAACAAACCTGTTTATTTTTTTGCCAATTTTCTTTTCGTTCCTTTCGAAAATGATCGGGTCCACCCGCCTGACAGACACAGCAGTAATCGACCTTCACGGGGCGAACTGCGATACTGTTCTTCTTTTCTCGTTTATTCTGTTTTCGCACGGAATTTTGGAAAATAAACCTAGAGTTCCATTTTTTTCACGTCTGCTGTTTGGACAGCTGAAGCGTTCAATGGTGTTGGCATGAGGATTTCTTTTTTTGTTTCGGGCCTAATTACAGGGTGACAAGTAAATATTGAAACGCGTTTGAAACGTTATAACTTTCTCAAAAGTCAACCAAACACCACCAAACTTGATACAAATTTTATTCATACAATATAGAAACAAAATTCAAGAATAGTTTTCAAAACGTCCTCCTTTAGCATTGATAACGGCCTTCAGTCTCTTCGGATACGCATCGATCACGGCACGAAGGTAGTCGTCGTCGATTTCGTCCCATTTCTTGATGAGCGCGGTCTTCAGAGCTTTGATACTTGGGTAGTTCTTAGAAGAGACCTTCTCGGTCAGATATATCCACACGGCATAGTCCATCGGGTTGAGGTCGGGCGAGGAAGCAGGCCAATCAGCAGCCGAGATGAACTCGGAAAATTGGCGCGATACCACTCTTGAGTCCTTTTGGCACGATGAGCGGGGGCGCCGTCTTGCTGGAAGGTGCATGGTCGGTTTCCGTAGTGAGAATTGGCCCAGGGCAACACCCCCAACTTCAGAATCGTCTCCCTGTAGTATACTTGGTTCACTTTGACTCCAGGATCCACAAAAATCAGCGGAGTTTTGTCGTCAGCGGTAATTCCGGAAAAAACCATCACGGAAGCCGGATGCGAAGTTTTATTCAGAATTTTTTCTTTTTCACAGGCACTCTGATAGTCAGTAGCGATGATCGGATGGTTTTGGCCGTTCTTGTTCGCCTCCACAGTGAAGATTTTCTCGTCGGTAAATAGCGTCGTCAGATGCGAGCCATCTTTCGTGCCAGCGAGCAGCTTTCGAGCCTTTTTCATCCGGAATGTCTTGTTTTTTTGATTGAGGAAAGCTCCTTTCTGCATACGGTAGGGAATCATCTTCAGCTTGTCCTTGACAATAGTTCTCATCGATCCTTGACTCATTTGGTATTCTTTTGCCATCTTTCTCATGCTTCTTCCGGAGTGCGTCTGATTTTCTCTCGAACGGCTTTGACTGCTTCTGGAGTCGTGACGGTGACTGGACGTCCCCTCTTTGCATGTCATCTGAAGCACCGAGACGCCGATAGCGTTTTGCAGTTCGAAAAACGAGAACACGAGACACTTTCAGCTTTTTAACGATCTCTGAATTCGTCATTCAGCTTTTGACACAATCAATGATTGCGGTACGGTACGGAGATGGGGCCACCATTACCTGAAAACTGAAAAGTGTGAGCTGTAACTTCAAACACATGATAAGTGAGCATGAATGAACGAAATAAACAAAAAAATTCAAAGGCCAGTCCTTTGTGCAAAAAGCAGCGATCAAACAAAAAACGGTTTCAATATTTACTTGTCACCCTGTAGAAGGAATTGTGGTACTTGAATTTTGAAAAAAATTGAAAATTACTGCCTTAGTCGACCTTTTTTATGTACTTCTTGCATTTTTTGATTAGTCAGGTGATTTTTTTTATTTTTTACCTTGGTAACAAGAATTTCAGCTCAATGAGAGAATTTTGAGCTTCTCTTACCATTCATTGACTCAAGTGTTCATTCCAGCTTATTTATTGCATTTTTTTAAAAAAACTTAAAAAAATAAATAAGCGTGACCAGAACCCTTTTTAAAAGATGAAATGTTGCCAAGAAGTCCAAAGTTTCATAGAGTTAACAAATTTTGACTTTTTTTCTATAGAACAAAAAAATATTAAAAAAATTTTTGGGTTTTTAGAGTAATTTCACTTTTTTTGTGAGTTCTTAATGAGAACTTTTTGATTCAAATATTTTTTTACGACCCAGAAACTGATCGGTAAAAAAAGAAAAAAATATTTTTTTCCGATCGTCTCTCGACGTTGTTTTGACCAGCGTTCTTACTGGTTTGGCGTCGCTGATTGTATATTACAATCTCAAGTATTGATTGGTTCCAAAAGCGTTTTTTTTAACCTGAATCCAATAAATTTAATTCCAGGGCCCTGCTGAAGTTTTCATAGATTTTTACCAAAACTTGGATTTTCACGGATTGAAATCTTTGAAGTATGAACAAAAAGGCGTCGTGGCTGTATTTCCTACTAAATTTTTAAAAGCATTCTTCTCAAAAAACAATTTTGAAGATTCCTTCTTTATGAAAAATTACAAAAACTCTTCAAAAAGTTTTTTTTAAAGTTATTTACTGGGGTTTTTGAAGGTGTATTAGTCGTGTATGGCCTAGAATTCCATCAAGATCGTCTTTTCGCATTGATATATTTATACAGTTTTTCAAGGCTCTTTGAGCACTTCAACTAGGGTTCTTGAGCCAGGTATCACATTTTTTTAAATATCATTTCTCAAGTATACATTTGTAGGAACCTAAAAAGTTACTTGTTTACTTCGCATTCTTCTTTTTTTCCTCTAAAAAATGGTAAACATCATCAATTGCATTTTCGCGTATATAATTGTTCTGTTGTTGTCGCAGTAGTCCTTTTGATCCTTTTTCTTGCTCTCTGGCCCTTTTCGTTCAATATATCGCTATTTTCAGTGGAAATTTAACGTTTTTAAAATTGTGATGTGTCTGAAAAGCTTGCATGAGTCTTAAGCGGAGAAAAAAAATTTTTTTTTTAATTTATGAATTTTCTGTGGATGAAATTTAATTATTATATGATACCGCGTCGAATGAAAAATTTATTGTCCTCGAATAATTGAAAAGCCATAAATTGTAATGGAGAAGCTGTCTTTAAAGCCTTCCCTCTTGTATAATTTGCCAGTCGCAGATTTATAAAAATGAAAATTTTCATTTTTTTTTCTTTTTGAATTTTCAGATTGGAAAATCACTGCAAGTACGTGAAAATTGTGAATTCACAAGTGAAACGTCGAATTTTTTTAGTTTTTTTTCGATGATTTTTTTGGGCCTTTTAAAAAAATTTTTTTTGGAATATTTTTGTTCCGAAAAAGGCTTCATTTTCAACCTTCAAAATCTCCAACGATATTTTTTTTGAGCGTTTTGAAATCTGGCAATACCCACAATAACATTAAAAGTGTCCCTCGTTTCAAAATTTGATTGAAAATCCATCTCTACTCCCCTAAAGGCCCTGAAAGCTCAATTTAAGGTTTTTGAACTGACGGTTATTTTTATTTTCTCTTTTTCTAGACATCTACAATTTCACTTTTTTGAAACCTTCTTCATCGAAAGATCTTATAAATATTAATAAAAATGTCTCTTTCCAGAAATCATGTCCCACGGCCATGGCCCTAACTACACTCCAGTGCATCTGGAAGACATCGCCGTCACGACGCCGCCTCCTTATATGGACCCCGGAAATGTCGAGGCCAAGAAGAAGATGAGCCGCATCCGTATGTTATCTTTGTACTGAAAATTTTGAACACGGAGTATTTTAATATTTCTTGGATGTTTTTCGTCTCTTTTCTAACCGATTTCTAGAGTTGTACTTCTCATGATAACTTTATTAGAGTAGAATTCAGATTTTGTCAGAATTTTATCGTAAAATTCCAGATAAGGAATCAATAAGCGAAGGAAAAAGGTGTGATCATTGCGGAGCTGTCCAAGGATCACCTCCGGCTCCTCATGAGAAAGGTAATTTTAATTTATTTCTCAATCAAGAAGAGTTTCCTTTCATCATACTCATGGAAAAATCCATGAAATCGACATATCTCTTAATCAAAATTTTCCGTCTCTATTTTGAAAAAAAATTATCTTAGTCCAGGATCATTCTTGTTCTGTGCATTGAGGTTTAATGGTTCTGTAGACGTTTGAAACTTTCTCCGATTCCAGAAATGATAAAGATTTTCGTTTTTCAAAGTTCCATAGATTTCACTCTTCTGCCTTTTTGAGATTATATAAGAAAAGTCTTTCCTTGTTGGCCGCCGAACGTTTTGATATATCCCGTCTGAGTATATTTGTTGAATTTTTCCGTTTTCCAAACGTTCAGTTTGCGTAACTAGGCCTCGGTTTTTCTCAGCCTCAAGTCCCGCGAAGAAGTTTTGAACAGCCTGATCAGCTTTTCCCTCTTGTGTTTGAAGTCGAGTAGGTTTGTAAATGACGGCCTCCTTCCTGCACTATGGTTTCAGCTGTGAATACAAGTTTTTCTTGTGAAAACCAGGTCGTGTCTTTTTCAGTCATCTCCCATATGGCGATGTACCTATTTGCAAAGTTAGGTCGTGACAGAAGCTTCTGCGACTTTGTATTTTCCTGATCTTTCTGTCCGCGTTTTCCGAATCAAATCGAAGAAATTTGTGAAAACAAGGCCTTGAGCTTGCAGTTCTTGTGTGGCCGGCGGTCCGACCCGTCAACCACATCCACCAGGACTCCCGACAGTTCATCGGCTACGTCCTCATAATCGCCGTCGTCATCTTCCTGCTCTTTGCGGCATGCAAGTACCTCCCCTAAAGTGACCACTCTCTCACCCGAAAACGGCATTTCAATCACTTATCGCACTAACACTCACAATACATTGCAAAAACTAACCCAGAATAAATTTATCATTTATTTTATCACAAAGTGAGCACGAAAATGATACCAGCTTACAACAAGAAAGAAAAAGAAGGACAATAATTAAGTGATAGTCTTTAAGAGAAAAAACGACTCGTAGAAAGACACTTATAATTAAGTTTTTCAGAAAAAAATGGCCCGTTTCTAGAAGAATATTCATTATTTTTCTCAATTATAGTTCAAGAATCATTTAACACAACCTGAGGCTCAATAAAAATGGAAAAACGGAAAAAAATCTTTTGCACCGGGAAATTTATAAAAAAAGTGCAAGTGAAGTGATCATTTTAGTGGAAAAAGAGTCATGGCAATTGGAAGATCAGAACTTTTTAAAATGTACAAAAAAATAGACTTTTTCTAAAAGAGAGAAATAAAAATTGCGAAGGTTGAGAGTTGAAAAAAATTTCAAATAAAATGAAAAATTTTGAGAAAAATTTGAAGAAAAAGGTCGCACGAGGAATGGCTCATTGCGGATTTGGCGAAGCGGTCAAATTTAAAGTTGCGCCCGATTTGAAACGGTTTGCGCTATTCCAAATGCGACCAGGTTTCTCGCTTCTATTTTTGATTAAAAGGTAATTTTGTACTTTTTTTTTTGGTGTCCAGCTACTTTTTCAAATTTTCAGTGCACTTTGTCCAACTCTCAAGCTTCTCAAAAAAAAGATAATTATTAAAACACAAAATAAATTATTTCAAACCTAGAAAAAAAAACAAAAACAAGAAAAAAAGAGCTACATTTTTCGATTGGGCCCACTCCTCTCGTTCGTGTCGGAGTTGGGCCGTGTGAAGTGACGGCTCACTGAGTCGATTTCGCTTGAAGAAGCCCAATTTGCATAGAATGCAGACCATGAAGGCGACGATTATCAACCCCAGTACTAGGCCCAGCAAGTATGGCCAGTAGGTTTGCGGTGCTTGCCCTGAAAAAGTTTGTTATTAGGGATTTTTTGAGAGGTTCGGGAGGTTTTTTGAAGTTTTTAGGATGCCCAGGAGGTTTTAAAAGTTGATGAACGGCTTTGGAAAGCTGTAGGAACATGAAATAAACATTTTAAAGATTTGAAAAGGTGTAGTTATTTTGAAGCTTAATTTAAAATCTTGATAGTTTTTAGGCGGTTCCGTGGAATTTCAAACAGACCAGGATAGACTTTTTTGAGCAATATATCAGAAAAAAAGCCCTAAAATGAAGAAGTTTAGATAGCTTATCAAGTGGTAGGGGCTTTTGAAGGGTTCGGAATCAACTTTTTTAAGTTTGAGGAGGTCTTGAAGGCTTCTGAAGAGCCAAAAGACATTTTACAAGGTAGAGAAAAGGCCCAAAAACTAACCTAATGATGGTCGATCTGGATAAGCTGTAGTCGTAATCGAGACGACGTTATTCGCCGGATCGTCTTCGATCCCTTGAGCCGCGTCGATGATCAATTTTCCCAACGACTTCACTTCGACGTATTCAACGTCCCAGTAGTCCTGGAACAAGAAAGTTTTGATATTTCAGTTCAGAAATCAATTGAAACCTCAATGAATGTAGAATTCCATAGTCGGGCTCGGAAGTCGACGACAGGTGCCGAATTGGCGTCGATAAAGTCGAAATGACAAGAGACTTTGAAGCACTTGGCCGTTTTTTCGGTACAACTCTGAAAATAATGGAACAATTATCAACGAAGGGCTTGATAACTCTATTTTTCAAGGCCTGGTGTCTCAAAAAATAGCTAAAAAGGCCGCGCTACAGTTGAGTTTTTAGGACGCGCCAGACTGGAAACTACTAACGCGGAGGGGCACTTTAAATAGTAAGAGAGAAAGTTTAATCGTTGTGTATCGGAGCAGAACTATAGCCGATTCAAGGCTTACTTGGGAGGGCGTGGCCTGTCTGCGCCCTCCACCAACTAGGCACTGTCTCTTTTCTTCACGTGCCAGGACCCTTTTTTGGATGGCTCAAGCCAGCCGTGAATCAACTATGATAAGAAATTGCTAAAAACGCAACCGCGATGCTCTGAGCCATTCCCAGTGCGACCAAGGAGCTTCAGGTCGTGAAAAATAGAGTATATATTCCACTGTCGCACTTGGAATGGCTCAAAGCTTCGCGGTCTTTTTGATTCAAATGACAGAAAGCACTAAATGCGTTTGAACTCTACTGCTGCAGTTCAAGGGGCCTGAGAACGCGCCGCTCTGAGCCATTCCAAGTGCGGTCAAAGCTTTTTGATTAAAGTCTAAGTACTGACTGGCAACAAATGTAATGAGATACATGAACTTTCAAAAGCATAAAAAAAGAAAACTCACGATGGTGACGACATTGATGTCGTAGCCGTTTTCATCCTTTTTATATGGTGAAATTCGGAAAAGACCGGCCGAAGTTGGTCTTTTTGTTGATGATTCCTGTTCCAGTTGAGCTGCTGGAGGTTGAGTCGGAGGTTCTGGCATTTCGGAATCGTGGTGGGAGCCGGCGCGGGACCGCTGGAAACATTTTTTTTATGACTTTGATTATGAAATTTTTTGTCTTGAATACAACATTAATTCGGTGAGATATGGAGTCTAAGTCGTTTTAAAATTTTGATGACGTCATAAAAGGCTAAAAAGTTGAAAAACCGGACGTGGGTTTCAGAAAAAGTTATTAATAAGCATGAGACAGTAAATGGGCATCAAATCAATCACGGATATATATTTCAATACAAAAAAATTTACTATACATAATTTTTCTTAATAGTTATGACGTCATCCAGAGTGGTGATGACGTCATAAAGGAGTTTGAGGATCGGGTGTTACTAGGGAAAATTTACGATGAATGAGAAAAAGAAGATAAGGTCCTGAGTGATGATACAAGTAGTTCAATCACGATCCATGTAGTTTTTAATAAATATGACGTCATAGTAAGTCATGATGACGTCATGAAGGACCAGTGAAATTGTAGTTCGCTAGTGAAAAAATTATCCACCAAGGGGAGATGTAAACTGATATATGAGTAATCATAATTGGTATAGTTTACACCATCAGTTTTGAAAGAAATTACCTTAACCCGGTGCTCAATTCGTGTAGCCGTTTCTTGGGTACTGTATTTCGTATTGAGCCTGATGTCAACTGGATTGACAAACTCGTACTTTTCATCAACGGCGCATCTGAAATTGAATTTATTAAATGAATAATCGAAAGTGGGACGAACTTTCTAACATCCTTGGTGCCGTCCGTGTTAAAGGTAGTTATTGTCGGCTCGTCCAAAAGGTAAAGAGCCCATTTTCCTTTGCCAAACTTGGACTCCACCATGTATGGCCAGTGGAACTGGAATTTTAGAATTGTTGAAAGAAGTAAGAAAAAAATAAGAGCTTTAATAAATGATTAGAAGATGGGAAAACCTTGTATCCCTTCAAGATCCTTCTAGAAACGGCTCTTTTTTTCAAACTACTGATAGATTTTCTGGGAGCGACTTCCAAAGCTTAGAAACTCCAGAGTGGTCTCTAGAGGGACAATCTTAGGGGCCCTAGAAGGTTTAACTCAAGGGACCGCCCTATAGTGGCCCTAAAGCTCGCAGAAGAGGTCACTCCAGGGGTTTTAGTTAGTGACAACTCTAGGTGAGCATGCCAGTCTTTTTTTATGTTGAAATGCAACAAAGTCATCGGAAATCGCGTTTTTTGAATGGAAAAATATTTAAATGGAAAAATATTTATTTAAGAAGGTTAACAGATGAAAACGCCTTCATAGCCTCTTCATGATCTCTCTAGAATCTTTATTGATTTTTATTTTCTATCAGTCAGAGAAAAATTCCAGACCTCGGCGATGACGTTGCGAACAGTCCAAGGGCCGTGATTGTGTATCGTGAAATTGTGACGGATCATCACGCCAATATCTTCTTCTAGGTCCATCGAAGACTCGCCTCGAACTAGTTCTTCTGGAAAAAGTAGGTTTTGAGTTCAAGTTCATTTTCAAAATGTCCAAAAATCGTCTCGGAAGCTTCTTTTAGCATAAAGTATCACAGATTTAGTATGAAATGAAGCTGATCTTCCAGAAGGAAAAAAAAAGACTTTGTCCGATGGTACGGCTTATAAAACTTACAGTTTAAAGGTTTTTTTTTCAAAAATTACAGAGTATTTAACAATTTTTTTCGGAAACCGAACCACATAGAAGCTTAAAAAATGGAATATCTGAAAAAATAAGCCAACCTTTGGTCGGATTGCTACCAAAATGAACCAACGGAGGGTCACTGAGCCCAAAAAGCTCGAGCTCAGCTTTTTTGATTATTTGAACTTCTTCTTCCCAGGTGTTGTCGGAGAGTTCTGAAAAATGATTTATTTGTGAATGTATTCAATTTTTTAAAGGTTTTTCCAATTTTCAGCTGACTTTTTTTTTACATTTTAGTGAGAGTTTGAGCCTTCAAATTAAGAGAGAAAACGAGAAGTGCTGATCTAAAATAAAACTTTTTTTTAGAATTTTGTTTTTTTATTTCCTTTCTTTTATTTATTCCCTTTTTTTCTATCATTCTCAATTTTTAATAGAAAGCATTTAAGATATTATAAGCCCAGAGAATTATAAAAATGCCCAAAATATTCAAAAAATTACCTTTTTTCTCCTCCTGGGAGGTTGAATTGACCAGAGCGATAAATTTCAAAGGTCTTCCAATTCCTTCAGTTCTTCCGCGTGTTAATTTGAACCGAATGTCGAAGTTGTGCTGGAAGAATGATGAAAATCAATTTTTCAAATCGAAAATCTTGATTCAAACCTTAACATTAGCATCCATCGGATTGCCCAATTTCACATGGACAACGTTCTTTCCAATAGTTTCCAACGGCAATTTTTTGTTGTTTCCTGAAGAAAATTATATATTTTTCAACGAAGTTCTTTTATAGTCTGCTCAGAAACTCTTGCTCAAGTTTTAAAGGCGCATAGAGAAATTTAAAAAAAGGTCTCGAGGCAAATAAGTCGTTTAAATTTTTATTTTAAGACCTCTACTTATCTAAAAAGCCCAGAAAAATAGATTTTTGAAAGTTTAAATTTTACCCAAAATATGAGGAAGCTCCAGCTCCTCAGCGTCATAGGTGAGATACAAAGAAGCCTGGTAGGCCTTTTCCTTGCGGTTTTCCACTGAAAATGTGACGTCCAAGTGGTCTTTTTCGCCGACGTTTGAGACGTATCCCTTGTCGGTTCTGATAAAATGTAAAGTTAGGAAGTTTTTAGCGAATTTTGAAACATTTTGAAGCAAAACTCTGGTTTTTCAAAGTCCAAAAGGGTTGTAAGAGGAATTTGGGCCCTCGATAAGCTCTTGGAGGACCGTTTAAGGCTTTTTTTAAAGATATTCTTTCAAGACAAGAGATAAAAAGATAATAATTATTTCAAAAATGAACTGACTGAACGGCTTCGAGATCTATACACATGAAAAAGTAAATTAGAGGAAGTTACTAGGGAACGCTTTTTACCCTCTCCCCCACTTGAACTTTTATGAAACTTTGCTGGGGGAGGCGGGGGAGGGTGAATAGTTCCCATTTAAACGATTCCTAGGGAACGTTTTTCAACCTCTCCCCCTTGAACTTTTATGAAACACGGAAATTTGCTCGAGGGGGAGGGGCGTAAAAACATTTCCTAGTTAAAAGAGCTTCATGGTTCCAACAAAAAATCTTCAAAAATAAACTCACAAAGGAATGTCTTTGAAAGAAGCTTTCAATGATAGATCCGTCTGACAAACGTGATCCTCCCCGCATAACGTGTTGAATGGGACCTGAAACAAATATTTTCATTGGATATCAACTAAATAAGTCAAAAAAAAAGTGCGAATAGTTGGAATTTTTCGAACCCACCGTGAATTCATAACTGGCGCCGTATTTGTTCAAAACTGGATACTGTTTCAAATCGACCATGGGGCGACCTTGCTGCGGCTGCGCCGGTTTTCGTTCGTTTCTAGAAGAATAAATTATACTTTTTTGTTAGAAAAAGCTTTTCTGGACTTCTTTGAATTTAGGAACGCCAGAATGGGCCCTAGAGTGGTTAAGGAAAAAAAAAATCTCCATATTTTTCACTTTTTCTCTGAACTCTCCATTTCGGATATTCTTACAGGGAAGGTCATTTTACTTTGAGGTTAATATTTTCCTGAAAGTTGGCCAGAACACTCCTTGACGTACCAGATGTTGATCCTGAATGTTTCAACCTGCCTAACTTCCCAGTTTTCGAGAAATAAGAGCTTAAAGCCCCAAACTATTTTTTTATGGGTTTTGAGAGTTTTCTTCGACTTTGAGGCGTCTTTTCTTGAAAACGAGGAAGTTGCGCAGGGAGAGACTTTCAGAACCTTCTTCTGATACATCAAGGAGCGTTATGGCCAATTTTGAAAAAAATCCCAATCGCAAAGTAAATGACCTCCCTCGTTAATGTTTACAGCTTCTGAGCTTGTACATTATCAAAGTTCCTCGAGCAACAGCATATTTTTGAAAGACTTTAAAAAGATCTCTTTTTACACTTCTAAGGTTTTCATTGAGCATAAGTTTTAATAAAACATACCTTATCCGTACAGTAAATCGAAATTTGAGAGGGTTGACCCAATCTTTCGCCGCTTGGTCGTGGGCCTGAATTGACATACGTTTTTCGATATCGAAGTTGAAATGAGTGGGATGAAAAAAACAGCTGATTAGGGAACGTTTTTTACCCCCTTTTTGCTGAAACTTTGCTAGAGTGCACTTAAGGACTCCTGATTCCAAAACAGAAAAAAAATTCTCGCAATAGATCTTGTTTTCGAGTTAGAACACTTCAAAAACTTGAAATAGCGCTTTTTGGTCATAATTTGCTTATTTTGCAAACTTTAAAGCTTCATAACTCGGAAAAAGATCTACTGCGAGACATTTTTTCTTGTCCTGCTATCAGGAGGCCCTAAAGTACATTTTAGCAAAGTTTCATCAAAAAAATTCAACCGGGGGGCGCATCAAATGTTCAACTGCGGGGGGTTCCCTAGGAAGAAGCTTATAAGACGATTGAAATTTCGACTAACCGGAATATATATAATCTGCTTGTACGATTGTCTCTGCCGATGGGCATTACTTCCACACGGCCAACTGAAGTTATTCGAATGATTTCCTTCGATTACGGCTCTGACTGGAACATCTGCTCTTGCCGGGATTGCCTGGAAAGAATTTAGATTGATCGGATTATTAGGAAATTTTAATTTCATATGAATCTTTTGCCAAAAACTTGAAAAAAAGCCTGAATTCTCTATACCCTCTCGTAATCATGGGCTATTTTCATGCTTCTTCAGATCGAATTCAAAAAAAGCGCAGATTTTTTTCAAGTCGTAACGAGTGATTCATACAATTTTACAACAAAAAAAGCAGAAAAAAACTCGAAACTTGATTTTCTTTTTTTAAACACTTTTCAAACTAGAAAAAAACCGCCTCAAAAATGGTTTTCAAGGTCTTTCAGAATTTTTTTAAATCTCAAAAATTCTGATTTATCTCACTTCCAAGTTGCAAATGAACACGTCGTTGTTGAAATCGACGAAATCAGCGCCTTTTGAAGTTTCTGCGTCGACGAAAATCACCATCTCCATGGGGAAACTAGAAAAATCATTTATTATTTGTATGATTTTTTTAAATCTAAAAATATTGCAATAGAAAAAAACGAACCAAGTTTTTGCGCCCCTCGGACAATTTACTCCTTTTTCAATGTCGATCATTTTGCTGGGGATTTTATGGACCGTTCCAATGCTGATAACTGGTCGGCTTCTGAAAAAGTATTTTTTTTCTGATCTCAAGGCAAAATTAATTTATACCTTAACAAAGCGACAAAATTTTTAGAAACGGCTCCAACGAGTAAATCTGGATAGCCGTTTCCGTCCATATCTGAGCCGCCAGATAGGGAAAATCCGAAAGATCTCATTCCCGAAACGTTTGGGAGTTCGTCGCCTTTGATTATCTGAAAAATGGGGATCATCGAGAAGAAATAATGGATATTAAAAATTTTATATTCGCCTCATACTTTCACCTGAATTTCAGGGTCTTTTTTTCGGAAAAATTTTTCAAAGTTTGACACCTCGTCTTAATGAAGCTTTTCACATTAATAATTTTAAAAAATGCAAAAAAAAATTGAAAAATTTGAAAAAAAAAAGCCGTAGAGCGCAGAATTTCTCATTATAGCGGCTGTTTTTGCCTTTTTTTTCATGACATCAGAATTTCGTTCGAATTTTAAGATTGAAGATAAAGACTTCAGAAAATTAGCAACAGAGCGAGAATTCTCGAAATAAAGAGCTTCTTGCTCCGTTTAAAATTTTTCATGAATTTCAGGGTCTTTTTCTCAGAAATTCCTGATAATTCACATTTTTGAAGCCAACTTATTCATTTCTTAGAAACAGAGGAGAAGCTCAAAACTTCGACTTAGTTAGAAACTGCAGATTGGTCCCCATAGAGTCAACCTTAGCGGCTTTTCGAGAATCCCCTCTAGGAACCACTTAACTAACCCCTATAGGAGCCACCAAAGCTTGCAAAAGTGGTCCCTATAAGGGACATGTTAGTCGGTAACTCTAAGCGAAGAAGCATCTCCATGAGAAAAACTGAATAAATAAGCGTTTTTTGAATGAATTTTAAGAGCCCTATAGGAACCACTCGAGCTTAAGAGACGAAGGGATCAGACCCTTAACCCCTATAGGGACCACCTTGATTTTATCCCTATACGGACAACTCTGGACATTCTTAGCATTGTGGCAATTTTTCGAATATACACTATCCATAACTTTTTTCAAGATTTCTCTCATTTTTACGGCAATTTTTACTAACCTGAGCCGGTTTTCGTCTGAATTTTTCCGGATTCTTTGACCCGTGGTATATATAAACAGCACCTGCGCCGTCAAATGCAAAGGGAGCCCCGACGGCAAAGTCTTAAATAACTTTTGATTTTTCGAAGGTTAGAAAATCCCACCGTTGATATCGTTCTTATCACCATCGACATTGCCCAATTTAGTGATAGACAGGCCGAATTGTGAGAAAAATCCGGGATTTTTGAGGACTTTCGGCGGGTGGAAGACGAGGTTTGATTCGAACTGAAACTTCGGAAATAAACTGGTTTAACATCATTCGCCCGACTTGAACATTCTGACCTGTCTGCGCTCTCTTTTCTCTCGTTGGTGAGACTATAGGAACAAGGAAATAGTGAGTAACAAAGAGAGAGCGCAGAGAAGTCAGACTGTGAAGCTTTAATTGGCATTCCTTAGTTTCGAAAAAAATTGGAGGACCAAAATTTTTAGAAAAGTTACGTTTTTTTACAAGTCCTTTAACAAACCTCTTTTCTTTCGACCCCTTGTGAGAAATAGACATAAACTATGCCGCCAAACTGTCCATCAGAGCCGGTTCGATGTTCGAATGGAGCTCCGACGATTAGGTCGTCGAATCTGAAAAAAAAATATATTATGATGAAACTTACTGGAGTCTAGGTTGTGCTGGAAAAGTCATGGGATCCCGAAGTTTTGAAAAATATTTTTGTAAACGGAAATATTTTTGAAGTTTTCTGTAGTCTAAGGTTGTGCTGGAAAAGTAAAGGGATCGGTTCCCGAAGTTTTGAAAAATATTTTTGTAAAGGGAATGTAGTCCGTTCGCCACGACTTGACACTTTTCGCGTGTCTGCGTCTCTCTGCTCTCTCACCGGCGAGTTCAGAGAAATAGCACGTGAAGATGAGAAAGACGTCGAGAGATTAGGAGGGTGCAGAGAAGTCCCACCCTTTCAAGTCGCAAAAAATGGACGTTTTTTTTTCATTTTCGAAACAATGATCCTTTGAAATTTGAGAGTTTGCTTAGGGAACGAAAACAAGGTAACGGTATCTGAAGACGTAAGAAAAACATCTATCACGAAAAACCAACCCATCATTATTGAGGTCCACAACTTCAATCGAATATCCAAAGCCGGAACCCATCGAAGTTCCATTCAACATGAAACGGTCTTCAGTGAAGGATAATTTCGTGTTACTGTCCTGAATATATTCAAAATTATTATTTCAATCGATTTTTCCAAAGAACCTGGTGAAAAGGTAGAAAAAGAACGGCGCCATGCTCTCCTAAACGTGTGGCGCCAGAGACGACGGTTATTGGCTTGCCTTTTTCGTACCTAAAAAAAAGAAGAGCTTGAGAAGAAGTCTCAGAAAGTTCGAAAAAAAAATACAAGTTTTACAAAGTTTTTCAAACAGATCTCGGACCCTTTAAACGCAAACCGGAAGCGTCACGGACGTTTCTGAGCATTTCTAGTAGCCCTTTTAGTGGCGTCAGAACTCTTAATAGTTACTTGAAATGTTCAGAGACGTCCGAGGTCCGAGACTATAAGCCTAAAAATCTTACTTTGAACATTCTTTATAACATTTTTTCAATTCAAAAACTTTAAACCATAATTTTGAAACTAACCAAAAGCCAAATCGGCCAACGTCTACCGAATAACCCAAATAATCGTGAGCCACAAGTCTCGAACGAATCGAATCGCCCTGTTGCGCCATCGTGTACTTTTCGATCTGTAATTTGAGCCTATAATTAGAAGATTTGATTTAGTGAGAAAAGAAACACGTTTTTTGAGTCAAAACATACCACAGACTCGAAAATATTGCCACTGGATTTGTGAGCAAAAACGCCGCCCGTCCATTTTACGGCTCCGATCAGACCAGTTACGATGGTATCCTGGAAAAGGAAAAAATGGAAACCAAAATGAGTTTTCAAAGATTTAAATTTACTTATTAGAAAAATCGGCAGTTTTCAATTCTTTTTTTCACACATAAAGGGATCTTTGAGAGTTAGTTCATTTAAAATTTCGTTTTTTTGGAATCTCCGAATACGTTAGAATGTTTGCAAAGTACAGAAGAAAAAAATACTGAATGAAAAATCGCAAAAATTAAAAAAATATTTTTTTCTAAGTAATCCTTAAAGCGTGTTTCAATGAAAAATTTATCGATTTTTACAATTTTTTTGCTATATTTTTTTGTTTGGTTTCAAATTTTTTTGAAAAAAATATTTTTCATGATTTTTTTAATGACAGACATGAAACAATGTCTTAATTCTGATGAGAATGCTTCAAAAAATTGAAACTATGACGTTTTGGAGCCAAAAGGGGCGTAAAATATGTGATTTCGACTCATTTTCGTTTTCATCATTCCTTTTTGTTCTACCTTGATTAGGAGCAGGTTGAAATGATAATTTTGAAATGTTCTAAGTTTTCTCATTTTTTGAAAGTTGTTTATCCAGTTTTTGACTCTTTTGAAGATTCCTTTTTAAGGAAAAATCTCTTGAATTCTCTTTTCTCTATCTTGTGTGATATCTTCCGTTGTTGAACTGACCAAATTTCTTGATTTTCGGTGTATGTTTTTGATAACTTTTCAATTTTAGGCCCACAAACCTTGGTCATCGCGGCCGAGAAGCCTTCCATGCAGGACCCATACTCATTATGGCGATCCGTTGTTGGAAGATTCTTCTGGGCGCAAGTCGCATAGGTGCTGGCCAATCGGAGGTCCGAATGAAGCTCGTAACAGGCGCCTTGAGGGAAAGCCGCCGTTGAATGGTACCGGATCAGTGGGGCGCACACCTGGAACATTTTTTTGTTAGTTTAAAGGTAAGTTTTCGTGAGTAATCTAAAGGTTTCTGTAAACTTATTAACATAAATTTTTACCTGAAAAGAGGATTTTTGAGCATTGTAATGAGGTAAAAGGTTATAATCTTTTTAGAAAAGTTTTTTGATAAGAAATATCCTTGAATGACTTGAAACAACATTGAAAAAGGCTCGAAGCCTCAAAAATTTTGTAATTATTGTCCAGGGCCCTTTAAAAAAGTTTTGAATGGACTTTAACGAAGGAAATAGCAGAACAGTATTTTTTTTTTCAAGGACCTTCAAATTTGAAATTTTTCAAAGGAAATACTTGAGTAATCTAAAGTTTCTGGTTCAGGTTCTGATTGCTTCTCAATGAAATTTTATTTTTTTTAAAGTTATACTGTCAAGTTTAAAACGTATATTCTAGTCGAATCGGTCAGTTTTCATGAATTCGAAACCACTCATAATGTATTTGAGCACTATGATGCAGTTATATCTTCAAAATTAGTTTTTTTAGTAGCTCAGATTCCAAAAACAACAAAGATTCGTGAATAAAGGGGAGGTATAGCCTGTGTACCACTTGCAATTTCACCAAACGACATTCCGCTGTTCCGCCTTTACGAACCTTGGTCGCGCTTTTAATTAATTTTTTTTTTCTTTTATTAAGGTACTCTACTTTCATGTGCTCCCACAGCAATAACAATCAGTTGAAAGCGTGACCTAGACTTGAAAGACGCTTCGCGAACGCACGCAGCGGAACAGCGGAATGTCGTTTCGTGAAATTTCAAGTCGTCGCACACAGACTATAGTTGAGAACTTTCAAGAACTTACCAGAGCACTTCCATTTTTAGACCCTTTGGAAACGACAGTCGAGCCGAGGAGTTGGTCATTTTTGCCCAAATAATGAACGACACGGCCTTTCGTCGCGTTCGGCTGTCGCTGATATTCGGCCTCGTTTTCGTACTCCATCTTTATTTGACGGCACCTAGAGAGGTTCGGAACGGATAGCTTTTTGCGAAATTCATGAAATTTAGTATGTTATTAGATTCGCACCTTTTCTGGCTTAAAAAGTTTCGAAAAAAGACAAAACTTGGTACTGTCAATGAATGGAAGAAAAATAAACTGAATACTTTGCAAGGATTTAGGATATTTTAAAACGTTCTCTGTGACTCCTGAGTTTAACCAGAAATGCTTCGAAACTGAATAAGTATCAAAATACCTTTTTAAACGAATATTTAAGAGTAAACAAACCATTCATTTGAGCCGGCATTGTAGAAAGTGTTCACATCACAAGCATACAAGGCGCCAGCTTTTTTGGTACCCGTTTGACCGGATTCTCCTCTTGGTGCTCCGACAAGTAGACTGAAAATTGTTTTATTTCTAAGATAATATGGTAGATTTTGTTAAGGTGATCATTTTGGTATGATATAGTTGATGGGAAAGGGTCTGGGAGTTTTTCAAGATTCGGATTCGGATTTTTTTTTTTTTGAAAGAGGAAAAATCTTGGATCTCGGTGGCTAAATTGTAGTTTTTTGAAACTTAGATTAGCTTGAGGTTATACTGATCACTCTGATTTCAATTAGTTAATAAGAAGTTGATTGGAAGATTTATACTTTTTTTATAGACCTACTTATTTGAGAATGAAGACTTTTTTTCAAATCCAACTTCATATCTTCAACTGTTAACCTCTTGTGAACCTTGAAAGTTTACCAATTTTGAAGAAATATTTGAAATTATCAACATTAATATGAACTTTTCATTGAAAGTTAGTAAAGGTGATAAAAATCCGATTTATGACAAAAATGAGTGCCTTTTAAATTCGGGAAGAACGGAAAAGCTCCTACTAAGATCCCTGACTAATATTTTTTATTTCACTTTTACATCTTTTCCACATCCATTATGCTGGAAAGAGACTAAAAAAAAGTTCAAAACGGATCTTGAGGCTATGGAAGAGGAACTTTTACCCATAATTATGGGAGATTTTCGCGGAACTGTTCCTGTTCCTTCCAATGGTCCTCAAAGGAACTTCTCCGTATTATTTTGAAAAAAGTGTTCGGAATTGTTCATAAAACCTTGGAAGAAACTCACAATGAAGTGATTAATATTTTATTTGAGATAACTTTTAAAAGTTGTGAGAGTTACATCAGTACAATTTCTTAGGATAAATATTGAGTATCAAGTTTTTTTTCAATGAGTATAAGTTTCTTGATACTTATGAGTATCACTTCAAGCTCCAACTCGTCTTAAAATTCAAAATCACAACTTCCCATCCACTTCATTTGGTCACAAATCGCATTTTTCTACTTGGCGCCAAAAATAAATTCAATTTCTCCGTCTCCCTCAGCTTCCAATTTCCGTTCCTTCTAGTTTTTCAAGACGTCGCAAACTTGGGCAAGAAAAGGATACTTTTATACACAGCTAAAAAACATTTGAAAATCGCTGGTTTTTTGAAAAATGGGGTTTGGCAAGTATCGCGTGATGGTGCTAAAAAAATGACGATTTTTTTCAACAATTTTTTTCAGAAAAATCAGCTAATTTTTTTTAAATAAAAAAACTCACACTGGCTTCTCCCCGCTGAAATGTTCGGCAACAGAAAATCCGAATTGAGTTCCTTCGGGTCCAAATCGATAAATCGGCGCATTCACGTCCAAATTGAATGAATAGACTATCCGAAGATCCAGTAATACTAGTAACAATATGGAATAAAATATCCGAAGCATTTCTTTATCAGATTCAATAAGTAAAATAGTTTTTCGAAGGTCGAATAAAGTAAAAAAGGCAATTAGTTTGGGAAGAATATTTTGGTCAGACTGATAAAATGTCCTGATTAGTCATCAATGTGTGTGGGCGTCGTCTCGTCGTTTTTGTCGATTTTTATGTCTTTCGTCCTGAAAAATTGAATTTCAATTGATTTTTTGACAAGTTGTGAAGCGGAATATGATGGAAATGTGGTTTTGAAACATTGAGAATGAAGTTTTTGAAGATTTCAAGTGCATATTCATTGATGGAAACGTGGAAAATGACGATTTATGAATGTTTTATTGAGAAAGGTGCAGAATGTATTGAGAAATAGGTTCAAAACAAAAAAAAATTGGCTTATTTAGGATGAAAAATGTGTGGTTTAAAACGATTATGTAAGCGGAAATGGTAGAGGAATTATTTTAAGCCAACCAAAAGTGGTCGAGGAGGAGAATTTTCAAAGAAAAAACACGTAGAGAATGAATTTTTCGCCTGTAAATAAATTATATTATATTAATTTCTAGCAAATTAAGCGGTAGTTGTTGGAAATAAACGGAAAAAGTAGGAAAGACAGAAGTTTTGAACGGTTTTGTGAATAAAAAATGAGCAATTTATAGTTTAAAATGATTTTAAAACGCGGAAAATGTTAAAAAAAAACATGTTTTTATGTAGTAAATTAATTTTTGACACATTCAAGCCGAAATATGAATCAGAATAATTGAAAAATAGCGAAGGGATTGAGTGGAAGTTGGTTTTTTGAAGCGATCTTCCTCTAAAAAAAATTTCGAAGTTAAATTCAGAAATATCAAAGTTTTAAGGGTTCAGAATGAATTTTTGAACGACAAATACTGAAAAGCTCATGATAATGAGATGAAATTAACGATGTTTATGGTCAAATTTCAACACAATTTTGTGAAATTCGATCCTCAGGATGGAGAAATTTCGAGTAGAAAAAAATTTTTTGGGACTTTTTGAACAGAAATTATGTATGAGAAGTTTAGAATTGGGTATTTCCAACGTTTGCATTTTTTCAATCAGAATTAAGAAGTTTATGGGAACCTCTTTTGAAATTTCATAGGAAAATTCATTTTTTATTCCATCTTTTTCATTTATTTCCTGTTTTCAGTGGAGTTTTTAAATTCAGTTTTTGAACTTCTGTTACTGATAGGACAGAACAAGTTAGATCTTTTTAAAAATTTTTTTCTATCGAAAGAAGAAAAAAATTTTTTTGGAACGGCGGAAAAAAAGTTTGAAGCGGTCAGAGCGTCAACAATGAGGCTAAATTGACAAGAGGAAGGAAAAAAAATCTGGGAAATTTGATTTCATTATGTTTATCGTAGTATTCGGGATGAAAATAGCTTGCAAAAACGTATTTTTGTTGAAAAATATTTTTCAAATGGAAGATTTGTAGTTTCGAATTGAATACTGAGAAGAGTTTCGTTTTGAAAAAATGAGGACCTTTTTTGTTTATTTTAAAAGAAAGTCTATTTATATGAATAAGAAAAAACTCCGTTCTATAAATGAGAAATGAGAAGAAAGTTTAATGGGGAAAAAAAAGAAATGGCTGCGAAAAAAAAACGGCTAAAATGGCTGCTGGGGCCTCTTAGGGTCCATTTTGAAGCGAAAACTATGATTTTTTCGAGAAATTTCAAAAAAAATCAGGTAAAAAGGACAATAAACTATTTGCAGAGGATCTTCTTAGGCCACCAGAACTTTTTTTTTCTCCACCCAAAGTGTTTTTTTTTTCCTGTTGCGTTCGCACGCGTCACCTCAACCGTGAAATAAGCGGTCAATCCGCTTTGAACACTCCAATTTTTGCACCGCATTACGTTTTTTCCATGTCCTTTTTAGTGGATGATGGACTTTGTGAGTATAAAACTGAGGGAAAAAATTATTTTTGTTGACTGGGTGGGCTAAAATGGAAAGAAAATAAAACCTATTAGAAGTTTTTGAAGTGCATCCGACTTGCGCTCAAGAGAAATAGAAAAAGTTACAGAAAAACTTGAGCCATTCCAAATGCGACCATGTTTTCGAACTTTGTAGAAGTAGTTGATTTTGAATTTTTCAGTCTATCAAAATTCGTTTTTTGCTTGGAAAAAAATAGGAAGACGGAAATTTCTAACATACAAGTCGAAAAAGCCTGTCCGAAGGACTAATTTCTTCGAAACAAAATTCAAACTTGATTTTTTGTAAAATTCGAAAAATTCAACAAAATGAACACTAAAACGAAAAAAAAAGTCCACGCTTGCAGAAGGAAAGCATAAAAAAGGCTCCAGAACTTTCATCATTGAAAAATCTTTCAGGAAAACATTCCAGAAGCACTTTCATAATCGTATTAGCGTTTGTGGGAATTGAATGGAAATGATGATTCACGGGGAAAAAAGAGAATAACATTCACATCGAAAATAAAAACCAAAAAAAATTGTGAAACGTGTCGTCGGAATGATGAAAAGCGTTCCCAGACATTTATATATTTTTTGCGATAAAATTGCTCGAAAAATTTTTTGCAGAGAGATGGGAGAGAAATCTATGAAAATTCGATAAAAGTCGACTTTTTGAGGTCTTGCAACTACAACAAAATATGTTTTAAACTCAGAAAAAGGCAAGATTTTTTTAAGTCAAAGTTAACCATAGAAAAGGTCAAGTGGCCACTAGAGGGGGAATTTTTCAATAACAGAGTAATGAATGGACTATCTTTGAACTGGAAGTTTGAAGTTGGAAAAAAAAGAAAAAAAGTCGAGAAAAGTATGTAGATGTAACTCTCGATCCAATAGCAAATCTATGATTGATTTTTTACATTTTGAACATAGTGTAAAACTGTAACATAATTCACTTTCCGCTGACTCAAGATTCCAAATTCTTCCATCCCCCTTTAATTTTCTTACAAAATCCAAACTCAAGTCTCCTTTTCCTCGAACCAAGATCCTCCCAAACCCCTCAGGAAACAAAGAAAGAAAGGAGGGAAAAAGTGTGGCCGTTCGTCTTTTTCTTTGTCCGTTTTTGGGCTCGGCAAAAAGTGCCAACTCGTCACTTTTCCACGCGAAACGCATGCGTAAAAGTGACAAGTCGTTGTCCGATTTGTTGTGAAAACCAAGGGAAAAGAAAGAAATTGGGAGTTTTTTTGACTTGTAAGTTCTTCGGAAGGAAAAACACGGGCTGAGATATTTAATTTTTTTAGGATATATTTTTTTTCCACTAATTTTTTCCACGAAAAAATATTCTGAAGCATTTTTCTTGATAAAAATTTAATTTTTGAGTTCTCAAAATTATTCTGGAAGATTTTTTCTCATAAAAGACGAACATTTGAAGCGGATGAGGGTCCTGTAGATGTTCAAGCTTGTTTTATAACTTAATGAAATTTTTGTAGTTTTTCTGGAAGCCTCCAAGTTAAATTTTGATTCCTCAGATGACACGAAACTTGGCGAGGCTTGTTCGAAAGTCTCTTCAAAACTGTTTTATCATTTCCGACTATTTCCTCCACTCAAAAACGTTAACCACGCCTTTCGCTATACTTTGTTATTCCAGCGGTCAGCAGGGCTATAAAATGAGACCAACAAATGCTCATTAGAGTTGATGGCAACGGGGATGCCTGCAGATGGGTACGGGCGTCAAAAGAAAGAAAGGAAGGCTAGATTTGCATCCGGAAATTGGCTAGGCTGGTCACTCTAGAGGCTAGGAATGAGCCGCTATGAGGTTTTTGGGATTAAAAATAGAAGCGGTAAAAATTTTCTTTTTTTCCATATAACAGAAGCGAAAAGCTCTCTGGGTTTTCTTGGAAAAAAAAGCTACAGAACAGAGAAAAGACAAGTTATCTAGTTCTGAAACGAAAATAGGGATCAATAAATAAAATACAGCATTCGAAAGCTTAAAAGTAAAGGTCAGAAAGGTTAATATCAGGTCAAAGGAAAACTATATGAGGTTGAAGCTGATC